TCAGGTTATTAGTGAATGAAAAAGAGAAAAAGGTAAAGGAGGAAAAAAAATAACAATCAACAGCTTAATAAATGATTGGAAAAATGAATTACACGGAAATTGTCATCATCATCATCGTCATCATCGAAAAGAAAATCGATTGTATCGAAAGATAATGATTTAATGCTTTTTATTTTGAACAAAAAAAAAATCACGTGCACTAGTAATAATCAGGTTTTAATGATGTAGATTATTTTAAAATTTAAAAAAAAAAAAAAAAAAATTCAATTACGTGTCAATGTGTCTGTGTTGTTCCTGTTGGATTTTCTTTTTTGTTTTCTTGCAAGAAAAAGTTCATGTTCCAGAAAATTGTGTCGAAATATTAAATTTTTTTCGGGTTGTTTTTTTGGTGTCACCAAAATTATCATTAATCTACCTTCTTGTGTTGTGTGTGTGTGTGTGCGTGCATGTGTTATTAACGTTCAAGTTAATTTTTGAATTTTAACACTGGCTGCCTAATTCAGATATGTGACAGAAAAAAAAATTGGGGCAAAATATAGACAGGAACAGAGAAACAAAATAAAAAAAAATTTTTTTTTGACCTTTTTTTTCGTACGACTTTTGTTGTTGTTGTTGTTGTTGTTTTTCATTTCTTCAATCAGTCGATAATTATCTTCATTTTACTATGTCACCACCACCTCTGCCACCATCAACAACAACAACAGCACTGTGTCAGGATCAAAGAAATACAAAAAGAAAAAAAAACACACACAAATCTTATGAGACAAATTGCAAACAAAAAATTTGTCACCAATTCCATCCACAAACAGCCATTTTTGTCCACATATCGGGCATTAATCTGAATTATTATCCAGTACTTTCTATAGTAAATATGGATGCTTCGTTTTTATTTTGTCCAACATCATGAATTCACTTTTTTTTTTTTCACTGGGTTCCCATATGGGATTAAAAAAAAAATTTTTTTCTTTCATTTTCATTCGTGTTTTAGTTTTTCAATTTAAAACTTTTTTTTGCTTTGTTTTTCATTGTTGTTGTTGTTGTTGTTGTTGCACACTTGAATTCACTCGAATTTTGGCTTGTCTTTTTTTTTCCTGAAAACATTTCGAAAAACCATATTGATCCAATCAAACAACAAAAAACAAAACAAAAACAAACTGATACGGATATTCGAGTGTGTATCTGGTTGTAAAGATGACAAAACAAAAAAAAGAAAAATGTCAAACAAATGTGAATATATAAATCTTGTCACGTCATTTACGAGTAATAATAAAGAAAGAACTGTCATTTTGAATCTATTATTATTATCATACTACTTACACACACACAAAAAAAGATATAATTTACATAAACAACATGTCATCTGTGTGCTGTACCGGAAAATCATGGTATTCATACACAATCGGTAATTGGTTTGTTTGCCCATTTGTATAGGAACAACCGAACAAACAAACAAACAAACACACACAAAACAAACGAAATTTTTTTTTTGTTTCCCGAAACAATTTCATGTCTCTGTGTGTGTGTGTGTGTGTGTGTTTGGTATGTAAGTTCCGGATATTGTTCCTTGTTTGTTTGATTTTATTCACTGGCCTATTATTATTATTATTATTAGCCAAATGATGATGATTTGTTGTTGTTGTTGTATGTTTTTTTTTCATTTCACGATTATCATCATCATCATCATCATCATCACAGTCGAATGATCTCATCTTTGTTCTGTTCTGTTTGTTGATTGTTGTTGTTGTTGTTGTTGTTCCACAAACAAACCATGAATTATATGCTTATTTTCTTTCTTTCTTTTTTCACATTTGAAAAAATTGAAATTGATTACTGGAATAGTTTTTGTAAAAAAAAACGAAACCAACCATACACACCCATTTTTATACCTGCCCAAATTATTATTATCGAATAAACACTTGTTAGACAGCAGTGTGTATGTAACATTCATCATTATTGACCGATACGACATCTATGAATTTTCATTTGGAATATTCGAATGTTTTTTTTCTTTCTCTTTTTTTTTGCCATGACCATTCATTGAACATCATTAAAATCTATCATCGATCAAAATCAATCGGTGTGTGTTCAATTCACAATGTTTTGTCAGTCTGTTTGTTTGTTTGTTTTTTTTTCTTTATAATAATAATTCAATTAAAGTTTTTTTCATTCATTCATTCATCATATTCATGTTTGTTTGAAATGAATGATTAATTTTTTATTATTATAAAACAATTAAGAATGTGTCAATCTTAATCATTAATTCAATTGAATTGAATTGAATGTTTGTTTTGGGTTTTTACCCAGAAAATTTTTACCCAACAATCGATTGGTTTTTTTCTGCCCAATCATCAAATACATCCATCCATAAATTAAGGTGTTGTTGGACAACAACAACAATAGCAACTTGAAATTTGTTTTTTCATTGTTTTCGTGTGTGTGTGTGTATGGTTTATAAACATTGTTTTCAAGCCAAAAACAAAAATTATGAATCAGAAAAAAAACGCTAGATGGATGTTGAATGTTTCCAAATGATGATGATGATGATGATGATTTAAATCATCATTAACATCATCATCATAATCATCCTTTGTTCATTGAATAGTGATTAATTCAATTTTTGCTGTTGTTGTTGTTGTTTTAGTTCCTGTTTTAGCACCACCACCACCACCACCACAACAACAACAACAACAATGAATTTGTAATTCAACAAAAAAAGAAAATGAATACAGAATTCAAAATGAACAAAATTCAGAAATTATGAAGAAAAAAATTTTGAATTCCTTTACAACCAGATGATTAATTAATAATAATTATTGGATAATGAAGGTGAAATTTTCTTTTCTCTTTTTTTTCATCATCATCATCATCTATTTGTAATTTGTAATTCATTCAATCAGGTTTTTATTTTGCAACAAAACAAAAATAAAAAACAAAACAGAAAAAAATAAAAATTGAAATCATATGGCTTCAGGCTTTTAATCTTATGATGATCGCATAATTTCTTATCACATCACATCACATCATACGCACACATACTGTTAGAGAGAGAGAGAAAAAAAGACAAGAAAAAAAACAATCATTTTCCACATGATAAAAAGTCCGTGTGTGTGTGTGTTAATCAAAATTATTATTCAAAACAAAATGAATGAATGGAGAGAGAGAGAGAGAGCAAACATTCAATATCAACATTGAAAATTTTTGTTTTTCAAACAAAAATAAAAAGATTTTATCTCAAAAGATGAACCAAAAAAAAATTTTTTCGGGTTTTTCCAATTCAATTCCGATTTTTTTAAAAATTTTTTTTAATTTTTAATTGGAATTGAATAGAATTCAAGGTTGAAAATGAGCAACAACAAAAAAATTCGAATTTTTAAAAGTACACGCCCGTGGCTACAGATGGCGACACTGGGGCCATCATCATCAATATTGATGATGATTCGAAATTTCCGGCTAGTCAAGATTGTTGTTGTTTTTGGTTTTTTTTTTTTTTTGAATCAAAATCAAATCAAATCACCATTGGATACTACAACACACAAAATACTGACCAAATCGGTATTATAATAATTACTACTATGCAATGCATCAACATGACGACAAAACACGCCTTCCAAACGAACGAATGATGAATAATTCCCGTGAATATTGTTACCGTGAATATTGACCGAAAAGAAAGAGCATGCCTCATATGAATCTGAAAATCTTTTTTTTCTCATTGCTGGTCAGTTTGTGTGTGTGTGTGTGTATATGTCCGGACGGTTTTAACCATTTTTTATCATCATCATCATCATCATCCAAATTGCATTGTACAATTGTCCGATTGAAAAAAATCAAATATTTCATTTTGCCATTCTTTTTTTTTTTTTCTTCTTCACATTGATTTATTGGTAAGTTTTTTTTCTCTTTCCCATTCTTTGTGTTTTATCTAAAAAGATTTTTTTTTTTTTTTTGGGAGAAAGATGAAAATAAAAATCTTTTGCCATGAATCTTTCAAACATTACACACACACACACACACACACACACACACCGAGAGACACGAATTTTATTGTACGAAACATTCAATTATCATTTCAAAAAAAAAAAAAAAAAAATTACAATGGCCAATGATGATTTACAGTGTAAATTTTACATTCTATGTGATCATCATAATCATCATCATCGATCATTCGATTGGTTGTTTTTTTTCAATTGCTTTTCAAAATAATAGCAATTTATGAACAAACAAAATTGTACAAGAATTGAACTTTAATCATAAAAAAAAATTCAATTGAATGTCACGAACACACCATGAAACGAACGATGAACAACAAACGGTGGACAAATTGTATGTGTTTGTGTGTGTGTGCGTATGTCCGACAGAAATTAAACCAATCCAACCGTAAATTTATAAATCGTCATCATCACAGAGAGAGAGAGAGAGAGAAAAAAAAAGTTGACAATTGTTGACGACAACATACCGACACCACCATATCGACAACAGAATTTATCCATCCAACCAATTTTTGTGACAGGAAAAAAAAGTTGTAATTTTAATTTGTTTTGTGTGTGTGTGTGTGTAATGTGTGTGTTTCTATTTTCTTCGTGGTTGATCAAAAATCCAATTGCATTCAAAATTATCTCCTCTGTTTTCTAGTGGATAAAAAGAGGATGTATTAATGAGAGAGAAACACACAAAATTTTTTTTTTTTTGATACTTTGGAATTGGTTTTATCATTTTTTTTCTGGTTATCACATTGACAACATTAAAATCAACGACAACTATCATCAAGAAATCAAGCTTTATATTTAATGATGATGATGATGATGATGATGATCCATAGTGTGTTTTGAGTTTATTCATGTTTTTTTGATTGTCAATGTAATGATTTTCAATTATTCTTTGCTGCTGCTGCTGTTGTTGTTGTTGTTTAGACTAGTTTTTCTTTTTTTTTTCTTTCACAACAATTGTGTGTGAATTTGTGTGATTCGTTGTTGTTGTGTTTTATGCAACTGGTATTATCAGTTTATACCACACCTTTATATGTTAAAAATAAAATTTTTTCCATTCTTTTTTTTTATTTGGATTTTAATTTTCCAGATTTGATTGTATATAAAAGTTCATCTCCAGCTGTAAGGTGTTTATTTATTTTTACACCCCAAAAAAAAGGTTCATCAACACATCATATCCGAATTGACCATTCGATATAAAGGATCGACGGACAGATTTTATTGTTTTGTTTATTTATCATTTTTTTTTTGACATTTGAAAACCGTTCGAAAAAAAATGTCATCAAAAGATTATGCAGCCGAACAATTGGCGCGATTGAAACGAATGAATTTATCGAATCATAATGATAACAAGGTATGTAACCTTTTTGATTTCATAATTCTTTGATTTTTTTTTGTGTGTTTGTGTTTGTGTTTTGGGTTTTTTTGCATTATGTATACAAATTGTATTATATTATATGTTTAATGATAAACACAAATCGAATCGATTCGAAATCCAGGTCAGCCACTAATAAAAGTATAGCAAAAGCAAAAAAAAATTTTCTAGTCGCGCTTCAGGAATTTCTTGATCCAATTCCATCACAAATACACACACACACACACACACACATACAGACATATCAAAACTTCCATGACAACCGTGATTATCAAATTTGTCAAGTGAAACATTACCGATTATAACTGTGGTTAATTTTTGTTATCATAATAAACTAGTTCATAAAGTTCATTCTAGTTCCAGGATCTTTTATAGTAAATGGAACAAAAACTGTCAGACGCCAATTTTTCCACAAAAAAAAATTTCCATTCACCATTGTAATTGGTGATTGAAAAATTCTTAAGAATTCTCCACTATCGAAACAATCGCGATTGTTATTTATTTTTTTGACATTTGATTAATTGATTTTTTTTGGCTTTTTTATTTTCTTTTTTAATTTATCATCAAGAAAATGGATGTAAAAGAAGAAAATATGACAACCATATTCGGTAAACCGGTTGCAGATTTGAAAAATTCACTTACTATTGGACCACAAGGACCTATTCTATTGCAAGATGTTCAATTTTTAGAACAACTTGCACATTTTGATCGTGAACGGATACCGGAACGTGTTGTACATGCAAAAGGTGCCGGTGCTTTTGGCTATTTTGAAGTGACATCCAATGCCATTACCAAATATTGTAAAGCTAAATTATTCGATACTGTTGGTAAACGTACACCGGTTGCTGTAAGATTTTCAACTGTTGGCGGTGAATCTGGTTCCGCAGATACTTTACGTGATCCACGTGGATTTGCTGTTAAATTCTATACCGAACAAGGCAATTGGGATCTAGTTGGAAATAATACACCGATATTTTTTATTCGTGATCCAATTCTATTTCCATCGTTTATTCATACACAAAAACGAAACCCACAAACAAATCTTAAAGATGCTAATATGATTTGGGATTTCTTTTCACTTGTACCAGCTACTACACATCAATTTTCATTTTTATTCTCCGATCGTGGCATACCTGATGGTTATCGCCATATGAATGGTTATGGATCACATACATTCAAATTGGTCAATGGCCAAGGTGAAGCTTTTTATACGAAATTTCATTTTAAAACACAACAGGGTATTAAGAATTTGGATGTCAATACTGCTACACGTTTGGCAGGTTTGTGTTTTTTTCCAATTTGAATTTTTTTCCATTCATCATTAATTTTTGTTGTTGTTGTTGTTGTCAATATTTAGGTGAAGATCCTGATTATTCTATACGTGATTTGTACAATGCAATCGAGAATAAAAATTTTCCCAAATGGAAATTACACGTACAAATAATGACATTCGATCAGGCAAAAACATTTAAATATAATCCATTTGATTTGACTAAAATTTGGCCACATAAAGAATATCCATTGATTGAAGTTGGCGATCTAGTTTTGGATAGAAATCCACAGAATTACTTTGCTGAAGTTGAACAAATGGCTTTCTCTCCGGCTAATATGGTACCCGGTGTTGAACCATCACCTGATCGAATGTTACTTGGTCGTCTTTTTTCCTATACTGATACCCAAAGACATCGGTAAATTTCACTATTCAAATTCAAAAAAAATTTTATTGAAAATTAATTTTTTTTTTGATTTAAAATTAATTAGACTTGGAGCAAATTTTCATCAATTACCAGTGAATCGACCAAAATGTCCGGTTATGAATCCAACAATACGTGATGGACCATATTGTTATGATGATAATTGTGGTGGACAACCAAATTATTGGCCAAATTCATTTTCAAATTGGAAAACTGATCAATGTCATCGTGACCATTGTGATCAGACCGCTGGACATATTGATCGTCATGATAACAACAATGATGATAATTTTGAACAGGTTACTGAATTTTGGAACAATGTACTATCGAATGATGAACGTGAACGTTTAGTGAATAATATTGCTGAACATATGAGTCAAGTAGATCCAATGATACAGGAAAAAGCAGTACGTAATTTTGAACGTGTACATCCGGATTTTGGTGGCAAATTACGTACAATACTAAATCTTCATAAAGTAAGTTGCCACAAACATACATACAAAAAAAAAAAAAACAATTGCAATTTCTTTTTGCATGAAAATTCGGTTCCATTTTTTTTGCTAATTTTTTTTTCTGATTTTTCATTTGTTTTGCATGATCATTTTTTTTTTCGTTTTTGTCCAGTGAATGTGTCCAAACATGAAAAACAAACAAAACAAAAAAATTATCATCAAACCACATCATAATTTGCCCACAAGATTTAACGTAGCAGTAGATGTTCCAGAAAAAAATCATAGATAACATTCCATTGTCTTCGTAACAAAATAACTAAACTAAACTTTTATTTCATATTTTCTTCTGTCTTTTAATTTGATCGTCATTTTTCCCATTAGTAGAATATAATCGATGATGAACATTTTCATTCAAAACGACATCATAATAATCTAGAAACAAATCTAAATTTTATAAACAATAACAATAATAATGATGATGATGATGATAATCATAGAATACATACATTATATAATCTAGCTCGTTTGATCTTTACAACATCACAACGTTTAGCACCGATTTGTCGTACAGTTAATTGTTCATCAATATCACAATCACAAACACAATCATCACCAGCATCAAGAGCTATTTCGGAGGCAGCAACAGCTGCCACACGATCATTGTTACAATCAACAATATGTGGTAGTACAAATGATATAAATGAAACAACAAAATCAAAACAACGATTCAAATAATAAACTAATTATACTAATACCGTAATACAGGAACCGGAATGACAGGAAAAAAAACTTGAAAAACTTTGATTCATTTCAATGATTTTTTTTTTTAATTTTTTAGGCAAAATTTTAAAGTCAACATTTTTTTTTTGGGGCCGGAAATTTTCAACTATTTTAACTCAGCCTGACACACACACACATTTATGATTGTAATAATAATAAATAAATAATTGAATCATCATGTTCGATGTTTGAAACAATTTATTGAATGATTTTTTTTCTGAAAATAAAATAAAAAAAAAATTTATTTCAAATCAAAATATTGTGTCTTACCATTTGTTTACTTATCGTTTATTTATCCATGAATTCAATTTTCTATTACTACTTATCATTTCAAAATTTTCAATCAAACAACGTGTTTTCAATTGTACATTGGAAAATTTATGTGTATACACAACATGATCAATAAAATAATAGTTGAACAAACAAACGAAATATGTTGATGGCAACAAAAAAAAAGAAAAATTCTTTGTCGAGGACACGAAATGAATGAATAAGTTGAATTGAATTGAATTGAATCTAATGTGAAATGTATGCCATTATTCAACAAGTTTATTTTCATTTGTTGTTGATCAATTCATTTATATATACAGGTTTATTTTTTTTTTTAATTGCTGCCCTGGCCGATCATGTTTCCGCAATTTCAAGAACATATAATAATGCTCATTGAATCGATTCATTTCATTCAACAATATGATTCATAGTTGAATGAAATTCATGAAATATAATGGATTAGCATATATATTCATTTTTTTTATTCTACATCAAATCAGACATTTCATTTACAGCCAAAAACCAAAGTATGAAATGAAATTATCATTCTTCTGGTTTGATAATGTGACCAAATCATATTCGAAGAATTAATCATGTTTCAATGTTAATATTATTATGTGTTGGTAAATATCATTGTAAACTATTCTTATTGTCTTCTCATTTTTTTTCTCTTTCCATTCTCTCTCTCTCTCTCTCTCTACAAATTCACAATCATCAATAATGATGATCAAGGTTGATCAATCATTCATTCATGCAACTTTTTTATTTTTTAATTATTACTCATAAAGTAATGATGATGATAAAGTATGATGAACAACGAACAAACGAGGAAAACAACAACAACAACAACAACATTTCACATTTATTTTTCCTTGAACATTACTGTATAAAGATGGATTCAATTTTTTTTTTTTTTTTTTTTTTGGTACAAATCAAAATGACCAACGATGAAAAAAGATTGTCAATTTTGACATTATCTAAAAGCGATATGTTCAAAAAAAAAATCATCTTTTTTTCAATAATGGTCAAGACATTGAAAGCCTGATGGATGAATGGATAACATGACATGACAAAACAAAAAACAATCGAGAACATTTTTTTTCTGTTTGTTTGACCGCCAACGAACTATGTATGTATGTTTTTTTCGCTGGGATTTACAAATTCAATTTTCTGTGCGCATCTTGTTTTGATGTCGAATTTTTTTTTTTTGTTAAATTAAAAAAAATCATAATTTTCGTTTCATAAAAAGGTCATCATCAAATTTTGCAAGAAATCTTGAATCACATCACTATTGAAAATCCAATGACCACACCGCCTTGACTTTGATCCAAATTTTTTTTCCAATGATCATCATCAAATATGTATTTTTTCAATGATTTGATTAGTTTTCATTGTTTTAATTTGATCATTTTTTTTCTTTTGTTGTCTAGATAAATTGGATCGAGAAAAATTGAACAAAATTTGTTTGGAAATCAAAGAAAAAAAACCAATTATATGGATAATAAGAGGTGAATCAACTTTTTATCATCATCATCATCTTTATCGTTTTCAAGACCATTTAATGATCATTAGCTTTAATTTTTGTTTTTTGTTTTCCCGCTTACAACTCTCTTCGGTTCATCTTATTTTCAGAACAAAACAAGAATTTTTTTTTTCTACAAATCAAACAAAAATTATCTGGTTACAACGATCAAATGAATTAATCGAGGCGCCTGCCATGATCGAAGTTTTTATAATTCGAATCATTAATGATCATCATCATTACATATCATCATTTTCAATTCTAAGTGAAGAATACACACACACACACGCACACATAACTTTCTCCTTTCATTCATTATCATCGTCATTATCTTTGAGAATGAATGTTTGTTGTTGATTGGTTCTCTTTTAATTCATTCATCGTCTATATGTACAAACACGCACACACACACATAAATTATCTTGACGAATCTTTTTCAATGTCTTGGACATCATCATCATCATCATCACATAGCAACGACGGCTACGACAATAATAAATGGTGTATAACCAGCAAAAAAATAACAACGACAGACGACGACTACTATGATCATGATCAAACTAAGAAAAAATTGTTCTGTAGATTGATCATATTCATTGTAATCATCATCGTTAATATAATTATCATTATATATGACGGTGTTTGTCTGTTGTTTGTTGTTGCATCGGAAACAAAACATTGATCTCATCTCTTGTTTGATTGCAATAGATTTTTACCTGTGAAACAGATTTTGTGTGATGAATAAACCAGATTTCAATGGGGAAAAAAATGGGCAACGACGATCATAATGTTTGTGTTTGTGATCAATAATGATGGTTATCATCAAGGATAATGTGATTGTTTGTTTCAAAACCAAAGTGTATTTTTTGTTTTACCTATGTAAATGTTGAATTCAATCAATTTGAACATCACCATTGTCATCATCATCATGATTGTTTGATTGTGGTTCCGTTTTAAACATTCCGATTGAATTTTCAAATCGGAAAATAATTGTCACCATTTGAAATTTTTTTTTAAAATCGTTTTTTTTGTCATTCATTCAATCATTCAACCATCATCATTGAAATCACCACATGAAACAAATATAAACATTTGAACATCTTTGGTTTCGCATAAAAGGTTTGTTTACGTTTTTTTTTGTATCTCTTTTTGCACTAACCACAATCAACAATGACGATTGATGATGATGGTGATTGACAAATAATCCGGTATGCATAAATGAAAATGGCAAACATTTCCGAATATGAAATGAAAATGGTAGTAAAAAATAAATTCAATTTCAAATTGAGTATATAAAAATGATTCAAGCAGAGAGGCAGATGTTTGAATTTGTGTGAGTAAAACAGCAGAAGCAGCAGCAGTCGCTACAAACAAAAAAACCGTTCCAAATGTGATCCATAAAGAAAGCCCTAGTTTCTCTCTCTTTCTCACTCTTCCATTTTTATAATCAATTTTTCCGAGCATCTTCATGATGGACAAAAAAAAATTTTTTTTTCATTCAGTCGATTTAAATTGATTCGATGACTAGCTACTAAATCCAGAAACGTCTATTCGTGTCTGTTTCACACATTTGAAACAAAAAAGTTTTTTTTCTTGTATTTTCGTCACACCTACACACACAGTTTTTTTCATATATATTGGCCGATTGAACGAACATTGAAATCATTGAACGACTAATTATTATTATTTCATCGATTTCAAATTAATTTTGTATATTATGTAAGTTGACATTTTTTGCCCATTAAAATTGAAAATTAATTAATTTCATTGTTTCCACATCATAAAAAAGTCACAATTATCCATTATCATTAACGATCAAAGACTCATGGCCGATCTTTGATTATTTATTGATTAATCAATCAAAGAATGTTGCTATCCTCGATATTCATTGCTAAACTGTAAATGTAGTAGTATATAGTGATTTTTATTTTCTTTTTTTTTCGAAATAATTTGCGTGTAAAGAGAACACATAGTGTGTGTGTGTTTTGATTTATTTATCAACAACAATAAAAACTGCCACCATTCGATCAATCAGTCAACAACAACAACAACAACAACAACAATCACCGTCACCCGAAACAGATTGAATTTTTTTGCTGAAATAGAACAAAACAATTTCGTCTTTGCTTGAAAAAAAAAATTATTCATTTCATTTCATTTCTTTTTTATTCATCTCAGTACAAATTAATTTGTCATTATTTACAACCTGACCGACTACGACTACGACGGGCAAGTGAACCGTTTCCATTTTATCATCAACCTGGTTTCTTTTTTTTTTTTTTTTTGGTTCTCATTCCTGCAAAAAAAAATCTGATCAAACTTGAAAAAAAGAGTTTTTTTTCACCACCAATTTTTATCCATGTGTGTGAAAAAAAATGTATCAAGTTTTTGTTTTTCAATTTATATATCGAGATAAAAGAAAACTTTTTTTTCTATTTTGAATTTAATATGATTCATTTTCTATTCAAAGATCATGATGATCGCATGAATATTTTTTTGCGATTTATTCATTTTTTTGCCACTTTTGATTCATAATCTGATAATCAATCAATTTTTTTTTTTGGTTTACTAATAAAATGCATCCATTTTCATTATATTTTACTGATAATGTAGCAGATAATGATGATAATCGTCAAAATACAACGGTTATTACGGCAATAGCTGAAAATAGGACAAGAGAAAGATATTTATCATCATTGTACAACGACGATCGTAATCAATCAATATTTATTCATAATCCGATTAGGCAGAAAATTTTACAACAAAATTTCAGTGATCAAGCCGATAATGTTCGATTGATTTCTATGTCTCGTTTTCATCCATCTGATCATAATGATTGTATATTGGCCACTGAAATTATTAACGATAATAATAATCACCATCAACAAACGATTTCAACATTGAATCAAATTCATCAACAACAACGTAACCACCGATCAACAACACAGTCATTATCGTCAACCATATCTACATTATCATATCATTCTTCTCGTCATAATCATTGTAAAAACATTCCAATAGAATCAAAATTCTTTCTCATTAATCTAATACGGAATGTATTCTACATGCCGTCGACAATACCAAAAAAGAGAAAATTTTTATCAGCAATCACATTGCTTATACTGGTTTCAATATTTTGTTTGATATCCAGTTCATTAGTCAATGTATTGATCTCATCATCATCATCATCATCATCGTCATCGTCATCGTCCGCATTACAGCATTCATCATCATCATTATTTCCATATTTAGCTAAAGGTAATCACAATTTGATTACATTTTTTTTTTTTTTGAAACAAATTCAATTTCATAAAATCATTTAATGACAATTATTTTTTTTCACTTTGCTTTTGGCCTGAATTTATTAGCCAATGATAATGATAATGATGAATTGGCCAACAATATTGACACCCGACTACAATCATCACATCAACAGCCAATTCAATTGAATGAAATATTTCGTGATGAATTATCAGCAAACTATTTTAATGGTTCATGGATTTCCAACAATGAAATCGCCTTTTATGATGTCGAATACAATCTTTGTTTGTATAATGTTGAACAACAGATAACGAAACAATTTATTCATTTTATACAGGTGGTAAGTAATTCTAATGCATTTGATTTTATATTCAATTCATTCATATTACATAATCATGTTTAGTTGACCAAAAATCTTCGTGGATTACAGCTATCGAAAGATAAACAGTATTTATTATGGTCAAAAACGGAGCCAACCGAATTGTTTCGTTATTCGAAATTATCTAAATTAAAAATCTATGACATTCATAATGATACGATCATACAGTTATTTGATGGACCACTATTTGTTGATGCACGTTTTCAATGGGCTGAATGGGGTCCAAAAAATTCTCAATTGGTATTTATTTATGATAATAACATTTATTATCGCCATTCAGCACGTTCGGATACGATTCGATTGACCGTGACCGGTGTTTCTGGTGTTATATTCAATGGCCATTGTGATTGGCTTTATGAAGAAGAGATTATGAATCAGGCTAAAGCATTTTGGTTTTCACCAAACGGTGATTATCTAGCCTATTTACAGATTAACGATACATTGGTCAATATGGTTGCATTCAAACGTTTTGGAGAATATTCAAATGTAACAACAAATCAATATCCACATTTACAAACGATTCGTTATCCAAAACCTGGTCGACATAATCCACAAGTAACAATTTATGTGGTTAATCTTCATTCGCAGACTGAACATATTCGTATGATACGAATTGATCCACCGATGAAAATATTCAATGAACGTGATTATTATGTTTCCCGTGTGATTTGGTATGATGATAAACGTTTATTGATTGTATGGACTAGACGTGATCAACGGCGATCATTATTAACAATTTGTGATAGTAATTATCAATGGAAATGTCAAGAGGTTTGTGTGAAACTGAATATCATTAAACTAATAAGTAAAACTAATCCTTCTTTTTATATTAAAAAAAAACCACTAAGCTTTACGATTTATTTTCCACAACCGGTTGGGTGGATGGTTTCGAAGATGGTTTATTGAGCGCTGCATATGTTGATAAAGTTATTATTCGGACACCGAAATTTGGTAGTAAAATTCGTGGTGATTTTTATCATATTGCTGCCATTAATATTAAGGTAACATTGTGGAAAAAATTTATCTGATTTTATTTTCCATTGAATGAATCTTGTGCATTTTTTTCCAGGATAAATCGATTAATTTTCTCACACAAGGGGATTATGATATTATCAAATTGATTCATTACTCGCCGATCACCAATGAAGTGTATGTTTTTTCCTAATTGAATAAAAAAACTTGTTCACCATCTATATTTTCATTTCAGATATTATGCATCAACATTGAGTAATCATCCTGAAGTACAGCATATAATGAAAACTTCATTAACAATTAAATCTGATACAGTCTGTCTAACCTGTTATCTTGGTAATAGTTGCCGTAATAATGATGCTCATTTCAATGAATTAGGCACATATTATATACTCGAATGTAAAGGCTACGAAATACCACGTGTTGAACTTCGTAATGCACAGACAAATGAATTGATTGAAATATTTGAAGAGAATCGTAAATTGTATCGATTTTTGCAAACAAAATTTATTCCTAGATATGAAAAAATTTATGTAAAATTAGCGGATAATTTTGATGCTATTGTTGAATTTATTTTACCACATGATTTTAATGAAGAAAAACGATATCCAATGGTGATTGAATTGTATGGTGCACCTGGTACACAGATGATCAAAGATAAATATGAAATGAATCATTGGAGTTCATATTTGACTAGTAAACATCAATATATTTATGCTAAAATTGATTGCCGTGGTACTTCGAATCAAGGCCTACGTCATTTACATCAATTGTATAGGAATGTTGGTCGTATCGAAGTTGATGATTTAATCAATGTTGTTTGGTTCTTGAAAAATAACCTAACCTATGTTGATCCGGATCGTATTGCTCTTTGGGGTTGGAGTTACGGTGGTTATTTTTCATTGATGGCTTTAATTAAACAATTTGATCATCGATTATTTTCATGTGCCATTGCCGTTGCTCCGGTTTCCAATTGGATGTTTTATGGTATGATTTCCATTCGCGAGACCATTTTGTTGATTTGATTTATTTTTTTTTTTACAGATTCTGCTTATACGGAAAAATATCTCGGTGTACCAAACAATGATGATCCCAGCAGTATTCAACCATATCAAGATGCCAATCTATTAGATTTTGTTGCCGGTTTGAGAAATCGAAAATTTCTATTGATATACGGAACAGGTGATGGTAAGTTGAAAAAAAATCTAATTCAATCAAATCAATAAAATAATGAATACAATTAAATTCATTCTATTGACAGATAACGTACACGATCAACATACATTATTATTGATGAGACAATTGAATAAATTAAATATTGATTATGATGTACAAATCTATCCTGGTGATAATCATTTTCTTTCACGATCAAGTGCACATCTTTATCCACGAATGACAAGATTTTTGCAAGAAAAATGTTTTGGTCAATCACATCAATTATAATAATAATAATTTATTTTAATTGATTAATTTAATCGGTCTGTTAATTTTTTAATCTTTATTTATTTGAATTTTTTGCTGGTTGTTCTCGTTTTTTTTTCTTTTGAAATTTGAAATCAATATAAATGCCACATTATTATTGTATAATACTATACAAAGCAACTAAAATTTGATATATCATATCCGTGTGAAAGGAAATAAGGCATTTTGATTTTATCGACAAAGGAAATCTTCGATTTTGATGCTTTGAAAGTTGTTGTTGATGGTGATGGTGAAGCTCGTTCGATTTTGGCTTCGTTTTCTTTACGATTGAACGCACAACCATACAACCAAATTGAATGAAATAACATTGATCGAAAAAAAACTGCTAGATCCATATTGAGATTTTTTTTTACTGTGAATCTTGTATGTGTGTGTGTGTGTTATGTGTCTGTTGTTTTTTTTCTGTTTTAAATCTCTCAACGTAATCAAATATGATCATGATTTTTTCCCATATAATTCGATTGTTGTCATTATTATGGCCATCTATCATCATATTGGCTGATCAATCTTCATTGCCCAGTTTGAAACAACCAATTTGTAGATGGACTACTAAACCATACTTTGATAATGATGATAATAAAACAAAAATTTCCGAATGGAATCTAGTATGGCATGATGAATTTGATTCGAAAATAACATTGGATAACCAATGGACAATTGAACATGAAGTGAGTACCTGTACTGGTAATTGGTTACAACAAGAACATTGTAATACAAATCGTCCAGAAAATGTACAGATTATTGATGGTTATCTAATGTTAGCTGCACGGCGTGAATCATATTATGATCATGATTTTACGGCAGCATCAATGACAACGAATCAATATTTTACACACGGTAGATATGAGATTCGTGCATCGAATCCTATTGGCAATTTTCTTCGTACATCTATATTCACTAGAAATCATGGAGAATCATATTGGCATGAAAATGGACAGATCGATATTTTTTCCTATGTACAGGGAAATAACATCATTCGTGGTATACATTATGCTGATTCTACTAATTTCTATGAACCTGTTGATCAATCATTGGATGCTGTTAACATTACAAATGCTAGTTCTATGAATGATTTCCATCTTTATGGTGTCGAATGGAATAATGGAAGCATACGATTCTTTTTCGATGATTATTATAGCCATAAAATTTGTTTTTGCAATGAAAGTAAGTGTGTTAAATACATTATTATACAATTTTTCTAATGAAAATTTTTTTTTTAACCTCATAGAAAAATATTTAAAACCATTTCATCAGCTACGATTACAGATTGGTGTTGGTGGAATATTTTTTCATGTCAAGAATTTATCCGAAAAAATTCATTGGAATTGTCCAACATTAGTTGTCGATTATGTTCGAATTTATCAATATGTTGATCATATGAATAATAATGATACACAGATTCCCGATTGTCATTTTAATACATTGCTAGAATCAACAACAAAATATGATATAGTTTTGAACAAAATCTGTACAATGACCAGACAATTAGATCAAACGGATTCATCACTTTCTGATTATCCTTCATCATTTAAATTGACAAATTTTCAATTCGGTATGTTTGTTTGTTTTATTATCAATATATTATTTTTATTATTACTCGGCTAATTTTATTGATTTGTTTTCATTTGTAATTCTATTTCTAAAAAAAAAAAAAATATCCAGTAATAATATTGATTAGCATATTAATCATCCTATTTGTTGCCGCATTGATCTATCTAATTGTTCAAATGAAAAAATTTGGTGCTAAAGTTGAACATCAGATTGATTATTATAGTGTACCACCGCCAAGAAATTCCTATACAATTCCTGAAGATCGTGATGAAATCTATGAAATACCTGTCTATGATTATGATGCATTAGAAACACAATTGGAAAGAACCATACAGAATACCATAACCAGTAAAAATGAATATCTAGAGATTAAACCAGCCACCACCGGACAATCAGATCCACCTGCATATGAAACAATTATTTCAGAAAAATCATTTACCATTGATCATTACTAGATGGCGGAACATGATGGTTGTCAACCTTGAAAAAACAACAAAAAAAAAATGTTCAAAATTAAATTTCGAACTTTGATTTTTTTTTCCACAAACACTCCGCACAGATGCTTGGATATATTGTCATTGACATTAAACTAAATAAAATAAATGAATGATGATGAATTTATCATTTATACTTGTTTAGATTATTTGAATGATGATTGACATTTCGAATGTGTAGAGAAAATTTTGTTTGCCAAAAAACTGTCATTTAATGTATTATCGATGTTTAGAACCAAGAAATTTATCTAATCAATGATGATTATCGAATTGAATTGATAATATTCATGGTCACTGATATCGTTTCAGGTGTTGGCTCAACACGTTATTAACACCATCGGATTTTTTTTTCTGGATTTAAACATTATATTGAGTGGCATTTGTTGTTGGGGTTCTCTGTTCTATATAATTTTCAGACAAGCCTGCTCCTGGTTAATTCGATCGAGTCGATTTGTTTTTGTTTTTGTTTTGTTCGTTTTTCGGTTTCGATTTGCGTTGTCGTCATTATTGTTGTTTTTTTGTTTTTTTTCATCAAAACAAATTAATTGTTTCACTGTGTGTACATAGATGGATGCTGCCAAAATTCTAATTACCGGTGGTTCCGGATATGTTGGATCACATTGTGTGGTTGAATTATTGGAAAATAATTTTAATATTATCGTAATCGATAATCTTGTCAATTCTATACGTTTGGATGGTGATCCGTTACCCGAAAGTTTACGACGTGCACAACAGATAACTGGAAAAAATATAGACAAATTTTATAATGGTACAACAGAAGATGCTGAATTATTAGATAAAATATTCATTGAAAATAGTTCAATCGATGTTGTTATGCATTTAGCTGCACTTAAATCTGTCGGTGAATCCGTTCAACAGCCATTACGTTATTATCAAAATAATGTTGGTGGATCTATCACACTATTGAAAGCTATGGAAAAATATAATGTTAAAAAATTCATTTTTTCATCATCAGCAACCGTTTATGGTGAGCCACAATATCTACCATTAGACGAATCACATCCAATCGGTATCAAATGTACAAATCCTTATGGCCGTAGTAAATGTATGGTTGAACAGATTCTTGAAGATGTATGTCAAGCCGATTCTGAATGGTCCATCATATCGTTACGTTATTTTAATCCGGTTGGTGCTCATCAATCAGGATTGATCGGTGAATATCCAAATGATATTCCGAATAATCTAATGCCTTATATTAGTCAAGTAGCGGTTAAGGTTCGACCATGTTTAAATGTATTTGGCGATGATTATCCTACCGTTGATGGTACCGGCGTACGTGATTATATTCATATCGATGATCTATCCAATGGACATATTGTAGCCTTAAAACATATGCTATCATCGCCAAAAGAATGGTTCGGTTATAATCCTATTAATCTTGGCACTGGTTCTGGCACAACTGTTTTACAGGTGTGTTGTGGTTTGATTTAGAATTTTCCATTTCCATTTTTTTCAATCCTAATTTTTTCATCCAAAATATATAGCTGATTGAATCATTTGAAAAATCTACGGGCATTAAAATTCCATATAAAATTGTCGATAGACGACCAGGAGATTTAGCCATTTTATTTGCCAATGTTAATGTTGCGAAAGAAAGACTTGGCTGGAAAGCAAGAAAAACTATCGATGAAATGTGTTCATCCACCTGGAATTGGCAATCAAAAAATCCAAATGGTTTTCGTAATAATAAAATTGCTCAATGAATAAGATTTTCTTTTTGCATAATTTATTCAATTAAAATCTCACTCCTATAAATATTTTGACAATTGAAATTTTAAAGATTGACATAATTTTTAACAAACATCTTTTTTTAATTTAATAAAAATACAATTGAATTAGATATCATCATATTTAAATAGGATCTATTAATTATTTGAATGAATCAGACATTTGAAATATATAGGATGATAATTAGGACTTGATCAATCATCGGTTGGGCCATGATTCAATTGATCAATTACTTGTATAATAATGACGTGGTGTGATCAATGATTCTAATTGTCCATCAATTACTGATGAACCACCACCACCACCACCAACGCCACCAGCACCAATATTTGAACCATTCGGACCATTATTACGGCCAAGTAATGATTGATCAAAACGATCTTCACCCGATTGTATATCATCCAAATAAGTATGAGTGATTAATTCAGCGCCATCGCTCATCATATTCAATAGACTTTTTAAACAAATTAAATGATATTCCAATTTTTCTTTGATTTTCAACAATGAACAATCAGTTATAATTGGTGTACCATATTGGCCACCTGAATCATTATTGGCTCTCATTTGAATAGATAATAATTGGCCATTATTACTTGAAGCATTGCTATCGGGGCTATTACTTCGATATTTATTACCATTATAATTATAACTTCCTGTTGTTAATTGACGAACAAGCGAAGGTTTTCCACCCATTATAGATGATTTACCATTATTATATGTGTTTATTGTTGATTCATCTTTGATGATAATCGATTCATCGCCCCCAGTTTCATTTGATGATATTTTGCCACTATTCTCATCGATACTTGCAATAGTCAATCGTCGTCGTGGATTGTTATTTTTATCATATCCATGTCGATGATGATGATGATGATGATCAATGTAGCCACCACAACAATTTGTTGTATTTGATCGTATCGATGAAGGAAAATTTCGGCTACTAAATAAGATCGATGAAAATTGGGTAAAAAATAACGAAAATTTTTTTTTATGCATTCATATTTCTTACTTTTGTGACAAAATTGTGTCAGATGATAGTATTTTATCGATCAATTCTAACAATTTAAATTGTTCATAAAGATTTTGTTGCTGTCCAAGTGGTGTCGTCGATGCTGTCTGTTGTTTAATGAGAATCAGATTATCATTATTGTTGCTGTTGTTTCTACCAACAGCAACACCACCACCATTAGGCAATGTTTGACTATGTTGTAATATGGAATGATGATTCTTATTTTGATTACCATCGCCATCATCATAACAATCATCATTATGATTATTAACCGTCGATAAATTATTATCTAGATTTGAATCCGAATATCCATTGGCAATTTTATCATCATTTTGAAACAATGTATCATCCATTGAAAATCTTGGTTTCGTTTGACGATGATGATGATTATGATCATCCATAGGATTATCAGATGTAGAACCATTATCGATTGTTGATGTAGCCAAATCATTTAAACGTGTAGGTATCAATACCGTTTCTTTCATATTTTTAACCGAATTTTTAAAACGATTAATAGCCATTATCAATGATAATGATGATGGCGATGATGATGATGATGATAGTACGGATGTAGATGATGTTGATCTATTATTACGGCTAGAATTATGATTTTGTTGATTATAATTATTAGTCTGATGATGATGTCCATTTAATAAATGATTATGATGGTTATGATGATTATTTGTATGATTATTATTAATACTAATATGGCCATTCATCGTTGATGATAATAATGCTGATGGAACAGACGGTGATTGTTCATATATTATCATATTTCTCATCATCATTCGTGATCGATTCGAATTTATTTTATTTTGTTGTTGTTGCTGTTGATGATGATGACCATTCATCATCGCAGTATTCACAATGGTCGTATTCATATTATTAGCCATTGATGGAATCTTTACATCACAATTGATGGGCATGATGTTTTTTTTCGTTGTTTTTATTGTTCAATTGGAGAAAACAAAGAATATAAAAATGATTCGTTCGAAGAAACCCCACAACAGTTGACAATAATATATCAGGCGTCTAAAAACGAGAGAAAAAAAAAGAAATTTTGTCAATAAAATTGGTGACAATACATTCTTTTATTATTGGTGGATAAATATGAGATATTTCAATTTTGTCAACACCCAAACACATACATCGTTTAGTTTTTCATCCGTTGCTGAAAACAATATCTTTACTACTTTTTTTTTTTTTCATTTCATTTTCTCAAATACAAACATCGATTCGTTACGGCGTAATATTATTATTATTAATATAATATAATATATATAAAAAAAGAAACGAACAAAAAACCCATATATACAAAATAACAATTAATCAATCAATCAATCGAACAATCTATAGCTATAGCTAGCTAGCTATAAATGTGTCGAAGCCGGCTGTAACATCATCATACACAAAGAATGGAGAGATCGATCACAGAAATAGGAAGAAAAATCTCAAATACGATCATATTTTCATATAAGTAAAACTCACTTTTTTTGAGAAAAAAGCTCTTGAAATTTTTGTTTTGTTTTTTTTTGTTGAAGGCGATGATAAAAAAATTTTGAAGAAAACAAAATGTGTAGAGATAAAAGAAAATCAAAACATAAAATGAAAAAATTGAAAAAAATGAAATGGTTAAATCATCATCATCAAACTATATGTGGTGGCTGTAACCATCATCAGCATCATAATGATGATTTAAAAAAAATTTGAATTTGACTCATCAAACAAAAAAACAAACAATAGCTACTTTTATTTGTCGAGATGTTGATAATGCAATTTAACAACAACAACAACAACAACATATAAAGAAGCAAAAAGAGCTTTCGAATCAAATTTCAAACATGATGATGATGATGATGATGATGATGGAAAAGAACAAACCAGAAAAAAAACACCGCTCATAGCATTTTGGTTTTGTATTTTTCTTGACGATACTTGGAACAAACGAAATATTTATCGACAAATGAAAGGGAAAAAAAATTATTTATCATCATATGTGTAGACCAACAATGGTGGTGGTGGTGTGGCAATAGGCCCTTTGGCAATGATGGTGGTTATTAGTTTGTCTACCACATTGTTGTTATCATTAAAATTTCGATTGCTGGTTCGATAATAATAAAAGACAATAGGACCAGTACATTATGTGGACAAGTCACCACAACTTTCGAAAGTTTATATGTGCACTATTGCTCTCTCTCTCTCTCTTTTTCACACACACACACAATGACCTAATAACTCATTATTTTTTTCGATTCGTTTGTTTCAAACACACACACACACACAAACACAATCTTCGTCATCATTATCATAGTAATAATCATCATCATAAGATACAAAAACAAAAAAAAAAAAATGGTAAATAATCTTTTTTCTTCTGCAAATATTCCAAGAAATTGTCACACCACCACAACCACCAATGATAAAAATCGTTTCAACATCCAACACCAACACCCACCACCATATACTTACACAATTCTCTTATAAAGGAAAAAGATGTGATGAAAAAAATAAAGTTTTGATATTTATGATGGGTAGTATCTGAAAAAAAAATCTGATTGAAAAACCCAATCATACACAGCGAAAAACACAAAAATTTGATCAAGATCTCTAAAATGAAATGATGATGTTTATGAAGAATGTGCGTGTTTATAAATAAGTGTGTGTGTGTGTGTGTTGTAAATGAATGAATTGATTCTCAAAATACTGCTAAAAAAAAAACACACACACACACAACGAGAAAAAAAAAAATCGAAAGAAAAAACTTGAAATTTATTTTTCTATTAAAAAAATAAAATTCATTAGCAGTTTTTTTGAACTATAAATAAAAAAAAAGATGAAATTACGAGGAATTAACCTGAAAATGTTTCAACTTGTTTACACACACACACACACACACACAAAATCTTATGTATTGAATAAAAAAAACGAACCAGTTCAAATGGAATGATGACGATTTAGAAAAATTCTTGCGAAGGAAAAAAAATAATTATCGAATTTTGATTTCATTTGAAAGAGAGAGGGGAGAGGAACTGGAAATAACCAGATGTTATTTTCATCAACAATCGATTGTTTTCGGTTCGAAATCGATAGTCAATTTTCATGAACATATATTTTACTCATTCATTCATCTTAATTGATTTGTGATTTTGAAGCAAAAAAAAAAAAAAGAATGCTTTAAGATAAAAAATGGCAACAATCAATGATTAACACATCATCATCATCATCATCATCGTCAAGAGGGAAAAATGATTTCCGTAATATGAACCATTACCATTACCTGGTCGACAGTAGTAATCAAGTTATCGACATCATCATCATCATCATCTCGACAAAAAAAAATTGAGAAAATTTTTACTTTCGGAAACACACACATGGCAACAAGTTGTTGCCAGCTAAGAAAGCTTACCTCACGATAAAACAAACTGAATGATTCGATTTAAAGTTATTTTCATTTTTTTTTTTGAAACTTGAAACTCAACTCATTCAACACAAACATGACCACATTTATTTTCACTTTCTCTAAAAAAAAACTTTTTCTTATCATTGCAATAAAATCATTAAAATCAATAATTTGTAGAGCCAATAGGTAATATGACTATTGCAGATTGACTGACTTACTACTGACATAAACGATTCATCGGAAATCAATAATCATTGATAATGGATGTTGATGAAATGAAATAGAAAAAGAAAAACAGGAAAAAAACAGCAAATTACATTCAATCCAAAGCATATTACATACCTGGTATATTAATAATAATAATAATATATTTTAAAACGATAATTGATTATCATACGATGATGCTGATGTTTCAGTTGTGGATGATGATCATAACGACGATTTTTGTTTCACCAGAAAAAATTTAATTGAGAAAATAATGGTGATGATGAATACTTCTTTGGCGTAGTTTTTTTTTTTGTTTCAATTGATGAAAACAAAAACAAAAAAAAATTATCGAATATTGGTAATTGAGAATTTAAAATTTGTTAATTTGATCATGTTCAATATTAATCTATATATATATTCGAATTTGATGATATAAGATTTTGTTCGATTCGATTCGATGATCAATGATTCGAAATTCTAATGAAATCCAGAACAACAACAACAATGATGATGATGATGAGGGAAAAAATCACATTTATAAAAAAAAATCTAGAATTGAAAAACAAAACAAAAAAAAACAAAAACAAAAACAGAATAAAAAAACAAGATCAAATCAGAAAAAAAATCGATTCGAATGTATGTTACTAGGGGAATGTTGTTGTTGTTGTTGTTGTTGTCGGGATAAATGCATGTTTGTGTGTGTGTGTGTGTGTTACTGATGATCAAAGGCAGAAAGAAAAAAAAATGCAAACAAAAAAGGATAACAAGGAAATCCAAAGACACATAAACACACACACAAATAACCGGCTGTCCGAGAAAAAAAAATAACCAAACAAAAACAGCAAAATACTCACACACACATTAACCGTGAGTATATACGCGAGTATAACCGTTGTTATAGCGGCTCGGCAGACAACATTCAATCCAACAAATATGATGATGATGATGATGACGATAATTGATTCAGGAGAAGGAAGAAGCAAAGAAATTACGGATATTCTAAATGCAGCACACAAAATACACACTAGAAAAAAAAACATAGACCGATCCACCGACAATAACAACTATATGAACAGAGGAAAAAAAAACCCAACCCGACTCTGTTACTGCTAATGGTTATTATTATAACCGACTCCAGAAAAAAAAACTTTGGCGTCGGCGTCGTAAAAAAAACCGAAAAACAGACAAAAAGAGAGAGAGAACAGAAAACGAAAATAAAAGTCAAACACACACACAACAACAACAACAACAACAACAATATAATGGAAAAATAGATACAACAAAAACTTTGAGAACGTGTAACAAAGATATGCAAACGATGGAAAAAGAGAGAGAGAGAGAGAGAGTGAAAGAGCACGAAAAAAAAGATCCAAATTATTGCAATGAAATTTTGTAAAGAGAAATTTATATTTGCATGAATCGAATCGAATCGAGCACACACACTCAAACAAACAAAACACAACACAGCACAACATTGACAAATGGATTGAAAATAATAAAAATATATATATGACTCACACATGTAGACAGGCACATTTATTCTACATTCTTAAATGGATAATAAATATCATTTGTGACAGTAATAGTAATAACAATAACAATAAAAACAGAAAAAACAGAAAAAATGGAATGGAAATGCACGCGAAAAAAAAAAAATATGAAAATGTTAAGTTTTTCTCTCACATTTTAACTGTTTGTTTGTTTCAGTAATTTTTTTTTTTTTTTTTTTGAATATTGAAATCATCATCGAGTGAACGAAAATGAAAACGAGAAAGTCAAAAAACCCGAATGATCGAAACACGCAGTCGCATCGAATATTTTTATTTTCTCATTTTTGAATTTTTTTTTTAAACTTTTTTTTTCTCCCTACATAACAATGAAATATGATGAATATGTTTTTTTTTCTGAATGAGGCCGAATAATGATGATGATGATGATGATGATGGCAATTTTTGTGTAGAAAATATTCAAATTTGGGAATATCCTCTATTGTGTATGTGTACGTATGTATGTACAATGTACATCATTTCAACATCCGAATTTTTGTATTATGATCGTGTGTGTGTCTGCGTATGTTTGGCGACAATAATAATAATAATCAAAAAATCATTGATTGATTGATTAGTTCAAAAAAAAATTTGAAATTTTGTTTATTCCATTCATTCATTCATTCATTCATTCATATGATTAATGTTTTATTATATTTACCTATTGTGTTTGTATATATTTTGTCGCAATTGATCAATTGTCCTTGTCCACATTGTGTGATCACTATTATCATTTTGATTTATATGAATGAAATCAAGTAGGAAAACAAAAAAAACTGACCATGATGATATTTCCGAATCGATTAGTTTGTTTTTTTTTTTTTAGATGCGTATTTTTTTCCTGATGGATGTCGTATTTCTGTGCTGTATTAAAAAAAAAAAAAATTTCTCGATGTGTGTGTGTGTGTGTGTGTGTGTGTGTGTGTGTGGTGACATTTCCGATTTGTGTGATGTTGATTGGTGAGTGATGGTTATGGTGTGTTGTCGCCGGTACAATATATTAATCCAAAATATAAAACTACCCGTGTGTGTGTGCATGTGTTTGATGAATTTAATTTCCGGTATCAAAAAATTAAATCAGTAAACGGTAATGTCATCATATGATTTTTTGTGGTTTTGCTCGAAATTTTTTGTTTTGTTTTATCTTCTTCTTCTTCACACACACAACATCCAAATCATCATCATCATCATCAGATTATATTGGATTGCTTTATTGGAATTGAATATAAATCTTGTGCATGTGTGTGTGTGTTGTTGAGTGCAAAAAAAAAAATTTCGTTTTTTTTCAATTTAAAATTGTTGATGATGATTACCATAAATGACATCAACAAAAAAAAGAGAGAGAGAGAGAGAAAGTGAAAAAAAACAAAATTTATTAAATATTATCCATCAATGTGGAAGGATTATTATCATTATTGATTTTCATCATTGACGTTTGTTGCGCTCATTTCTTGTTCTTTAATCGATGATGATGATGATGATGTTGATTTTTTTCGCTTTTGCTTTGTCGACAAATTCTGTAGATAATCGCTTAATGAACTAAAACTTTGTGATGATACACCAATACTGTTATCATCATAATTCTCATCATCATCATCATCATCATCATAATGATGGTCTTTTTCGATGTTAACCAATGATGATGTTGTTGATGAAATTTTTTTTTCCTTTACACAATGATGATTATCATGTGATAATAAATTGATTTCATCATCATTATGATGAATATCAGAATCATTTCGATCATCATCATCATCATTGATGGAATCACTTGAAATCAATGTTGATGGAAAATCATCAATAAGAATATTTAATGATGAATGATGGTGGTCATTTTCTTCATCATATTCTTTTGATGATGATGATCGTGATAAAATCGGTGAAATATCATTAAATATTTCATCATCATCATTCAAATATATTACCTTTCCATCTATGCGGCTAAATCTGATTTTTGTCTTGTTGTTTATCATCAAATTCAATGTACGATTATCATCATCATCATCATCATCGTCAACAATAATATGGTTATAATTATAATCAGTTTGATGATATTTATTAATTGTCACTGTCGTTGTTTTGATTTGTTTTTTCATTAGAAATAAATCATTTTGAATAACAGGTTTCTTCGGTGTAATATATGATGATGGTAATGGTTGTTGTTTTGTTTTCGTTGTTGTTGTTGTTGTTGAATTGATTGGAATTTTTGTTGCAATCGTACATCATGATCATCATCATCATCATCGATCATTTGATTTTGTCCATTCAATGGTGTTGTTAATGTTGGTGATAAATTTATACTGACATCTGGATGATTAAAATAGAATTTATAATCACCATAATCACTATAATAGACAAGTTGATGATCCAATGGTTCATTTCGGCCAATTTCAATTTCATCATCATCATTATCATCAATTTCATTATGATTATCAATGTTAGTAAATGAATCGTCCATATCGCAAAATTTTGTTTGAATAAAAATTATATAAATATTTATATTCTGCGACGATAAAAAAAAAAGAATGAAATTCATTTTCTAACATTTTTTTCGCGTGTTATATAATCCATAAAAAATGTTGTTGTTGTTTGTTTGTTTGTTTCTTTTATAAATAATTTGATAATTAGGAAAAAAATTGGAAAATTGAAAAAGTAATTAAGTGTGTGTGTGTGTGTGTGTGTGTGTTTTGTTCCAAATTCAATGTAATTATTCCTTTCCATCACCAATATACCGGGTTACCACCACCACCACCAACACCCAGAAAAATTATAATTTAAAAAATTACAAAATGGAAAAAAAAAATGTCTAATCGTGTAATCGTTTTTTCATATCTAAATTAGTTGCAATAATTGAATTTCAATATAAATTATCTTAAATAAGGACAATTCGTGCATGTGTGTGTGTGTGTGTGTGGGTGGGTGTTTGAAATTGTTTTTGTTTTTTTTTTTTTGCTGAATTGAATTCGAAATAAAAATTGAGAAAAAAAAATTCAAAAAAAAGAAAAAACTAATAACCAAGTTCTTGTGCTTCGTAATGTTTTGTATTTCCTGTACGATTTTTTCGTGATAGTATCATCTCTTTGGTTGCAAAACGACGATCAAATGCCCAACCAATACGTGAAAATTGATCCAAAATGAATGTAGTAAGATTAATGTTCCAACCCCATTCGGATGTAGAATAATCCCATGGAAATACATGATGATAATTATGATAACCTTCGCCTGTAATATGAAAGTGAATGAATGAATGAACAGAAAATATAGATAGTCATACCTAAGGTCAAAAATGAAACGGTCTTATTTTCAGCTGGTGCAATATTAATATCATAAGGACGATTTCCATACATATGTGCAGCCGAATTGACAAGCCAAGTGGATTCCAATGCCAATGTATAACGAAGAATTGCACATACAAAAAATGCGGTCCAAAAATTTTCACCCCAATAATACCATGGAATAATGGTGGGCAACAAGAAACACATAACAATTACTGATGGAACATAATATTTATGTTGATAATAAACAACAGGATCTGCTTTAAGATCACTAAGATCTAAACGTAAACCAAATGTTTTACATCCGGATGTTTACGACACATAAGCCAACCAATATGTGCAAAAAAGAAACCACGTTCAATATTAACAGGATCGGCATTAGTTTCCGAATATTTATGATGTACACGATGATCTCTAGCCCATTCAAATATTGAATTCTGATAGGCCATTGAATTACAGAATGCAAGTAATATTCGTAATGGTAGTTTAGCTTTATATGCACGATGAGACCATAAACGATGTACACCAGCCGTAATACCAAACAATGAAATATTATAGGTGAGGATAGCTAAATTGAATTTTGATCCATAGGAAAAAAAAAGAAAGATTATCAATCAAGAAAAAAAAACAATGAAACCAAATTTACCAAATAAAATGGTCAATATTTTTGCATCAACAAACAATAGATAGGCTCCATAGATGGACAATGTATGTAACAATGCAAACCAGAAAACATTCATCCATATAATATGTTCAAAACAATTCCAATCATCTTTTTCAGAACGATCACGTAAATAATCACGGCTTACAATACGTTTTGGATCGATTTCATTTTCATCTACAACAACATGATTTCCATTACGTTTAATAACACCATTACTATTGTTATTATCATCATTATTTTTCGGCACAACAATCGATGAATTTGGCGGCATTGTTTTTGTTTTTTGAAATTTTTTAAATTTTCAAATTGCAAATTGCTTTCCAAAATTTTTCTATACTTGAAAATCTAAAAAAAAGAGAGATGAAAAAATGGACAGAATGAATGAAATGAAATGAAATGAAATTTGATTATTGATTAAATCACTATTTATATAGATATTACACAATGGAAAAGGTTAAATGTTGGGTTATTTAGTAACCGGATAATAAATGATGATGATGATGATGATGATGATAATTAATTGAAGAAAAAACTAATCATTGATGATGAACGAACACTATACACGAGAAAAGAGAGTGCCAGAGACAGAGAAAAACGAAAGAAATTTGATCCTAATGAATTTTTTTTTTGTTTTTGATATTTATATATAATTGTTGAATTGAAACGAAATGTACAAATTCGATTTTCAATATTATATAGGTTTATGCATATACATTTGCCATTTTAGTGATTCGAATGGATTGATAATTTTATAATGATTTTGATTGATTGATTGATTGATTAACTGCCAATCAACTATAGAGAAAAGAAAACAGTCCAGATTCGAATTTGAGGTACACAAACGCACACACGCACATGCACATAAATATCGTATGATTAAATTCAAATTATTCAACAAAAAAAAAATTTTTGATATCAGTAAAAATATCAAAGTAACACCAGAAAAAAAATGTATAGACATATATAATAATTAAGCATAATATACAAATCATCACGCAAATAGAAACAACAATAAAACAAATTTCAATTCAAAAGTCCATGATCATAATCAATGCTGTTCGTAGAACCATCACGATAACTTTGATATCAGTGCCAGTAAAAATATCAAAGTAACACCAGTAATAATCATTAAAAAAAATGTATAGACTCAATAATTAAAACAGTACAACATATATAATAATTAAGCATAATATACAAATCATGTTTTCCATGATCATAATACAAATCATCACGCAAATAGAAACAACAATAAAACAAATTTCAATTCAAAAGTCCATGATCATAATCAATTTTAATGCGAAATATATAAATTCTGAAGAACTAAACGATATATATCGATATTTTTTTTTGTGTGTGTGTGTGTGGTTACCATTATTTAAATCAAACAACAATTGAAGTGGAAAAAAAAATTTTGATTGATTGATATCATGGTTTGTGTGTGTGTATGTTGAATTAATTCATCATCATCATCATCAAGATTAATAAACACAGAAAAAAATGAGACCATAAAACATACACAGATAATGAAAAATCAAAAGAAAAATATAATAACTGTATGTATGTGTATTATTTGTGTGTGATATATTATTATTAAACGGGTTTATCGCGTTTGTTTGTATAAAATGTCTCTGTGTCAATGTTAAACGGAAAACATTTAAAAATTCAGCATGTTTTATATATTATAATCCACCTCAATGATCATAATCACAAATCATCATCATCATCATCATCATCATCACCATATAGAACAACGTGGTGGTCGTCATAGTTTTCATTTTCATTTTCTTTTTTTTTTCATCTACCAAAAATCTTTCTATAGAATGAAATGAAAAAAAAAATATATGTATGCTATATGCGTATACAGGCCAGCTATATATATACCGAAATATTATTTATTTTTAAGTATACGTGTACTAAATACCAGTGGTTAACAATGATGATGATGGTAATCCGTTTTTTTTTTCATTATTTGAAATGTAGATATTTTTAATCGAATATAGATGGCGCCTACGTTGCGTTTGTGTGTGTGTTTGTGGGAATTTTGAAGATTCGAATCTGATTCAAAAAAAAAAAAAAAAAAAAATTCATAATCATCACCATCATTGATGTGTATTGGAGAGAGAAAAAAAGTGAAAAAATATAATAATATACAGAAGCAAATTTTGTTTGACAAATTTTATTTCAATCAATCAATCGATAATGATGACCTTGATCATCGTGTCTGTGTCTGTGTGTGTGTGTGTATTGCTGGTATGTACATGATTAAACTGGATTGATTGATTTTATCGTTATCACACAATAACAACAATGGTGAAAATCATTATCAAAACCAACAGATTTTTACTTAACTTGTGATATATAATTCAATTCAATAATATATACTCTATATATATGTGTGTGTGTGTGTGTGTGTGTGTGTAATAAAACTAAAATCATCATAACAAAACAAACACCTGTATGTTCTAAATTTAAAATATCAATCACTGTGCATTGTATGGTGTTTTCAGATTTTCAGAAAAATTTCTCATCAAATCAAAAAAAAAAAAATTAAATGATTGATGTTTGATTGTAAAATAAATGGTAAAAATGGCCAGAGAGAGAGAGAGAAAAAAAGAAAATCCGGAAACAAAACAAACATTTTAAGCAACAAGCAACCAATTGTGTATGGTATGAATAATTTTTTTTCTTTCTTTCTTTCGATTTAAAAATGAAATCAAAAAAAAAAAAAAAATTTCTCATCCACACACACACGATTCAACGGGTAAACAACAAGATTTTGATTGTGTGGAATTATATATAAATATTATTTTTAGAAGAAAAAAAAACGGATACACAACAAAACAACAAACAAACGAACGAATGAAACAATCAAATTGATTGATGTGTCAAAAAGTGATCAATCTGAGCATGATTGATACAACAACAACAACAACAACAACAAAACATCAAAGCGGTAAATTTGAATCTCATTTGAACCAGAAAAAAAACACACACACAATGGGATAAATCAAATAGCAAAGAAAAACTGATACAACACACAGAGACAAAAAAAAATGGAAGATACAAATCGAATTGCAATAAAAAAAAACCTCTTCAAGTAAAAAAAAAAAAAAATCATTCCATTCATAACACAACAACATCATTTTGATGATGATTTGAAAATAAAAACATGGCCACATTATTTTTTTTTTTTACTCTCTCATTACATCTATTGTTGTTGGCAGTGATTATGGTTGTTGTTGACTAAAATTAGAATCATGATGATGAAGAAAAAAAAAATTTACAAATTTTAATGACAATCATCATCATCATCATCATAATCACATATATGGTGAATGATGATTATTACCAAATGGTCATTATGGTAAAAACAAAATTCAAATTCAACAATTGGTCATTTTATTCACATATTTCAACATATTCATGATCATAATTTTTTTTTCTTTCTATGAATAATCAAAAAATATAGAAAACACATCTCTCTCTTTTTTTATCTTTCCATAATTTTCACTCTTTTTTTTTTTCTCTATTTTTGTGAACAGAGTCATAGAGACAATATGTTGGTGGTGGTACAATACAATTATCGAACAAAAAAAAAATCTCAACCAGAGATTTGAGAGAGAGAGAAAAATCCAAATATTTCATATATTGAAAGCTGATATAAGATTTGATAGATATAGTTACAAAGAGAGATGATCATCAGATTGTAAGATTTTCCATTCAATCATCAATAAATATTATCCATCAACATGAAGATCTTATATATAATTTTTTTTTGTTGTTCATTTCAGTCAAAGTTTTCCATCTCAAAACATCATCATCATCAATAATAATAATATAATAACCAGAATTTATTTATTGAAAACATACATAAAAACAAAAAAAAGAATGTTTTATCGATTATTAAAATATGTAATACCAACATTTATTGGTACATATATTTTATGGTATCTAATGAAACCAGAATGGTTGAATCAATTTTGTATCATTTGTTTTCTATTGATCATATCATGGACAATTGGTTATTATTTTTATGATTTATTTGAACAAAAAACAATTGATTCAATGATGAATAAAATTATATTGATAACCGGCTGTGATACTGGATTTGGTAATCGATTAGCATATCGATTAGATCGTATGGGTTTTCATGTTTATGCTGGTGTACTATTCCCCTTGGGTGATGATGTTCAACAATTACAGCAAAAATGTTCAAATCGTTTGAAAATAATGCGTATGGATGTAACCAAACCAGAAGAAGTGAACAATGTTGTCGAACAAATCAAACAATCAGGAATGCCATTATGGGCATTGGTCAACAATGCTGGTATCGGTATTTCGGTTCCATTTGATTGGGGCAATGATATTGATGTTTATCGTAAAGTATTCGATGTCAACATTTTCGGTGTAGTACGTGTGACCAAATCTTGTATGCCATTATTACGTCGATCCAGAGGTCGAATCATAAATGTGGCCAGTGCAGCTGGTATGTATTGTTTTGAAATATTTAAAAATTATATTGAAAAAATCAAATTCCATTTTGTTTTGAATAGGTCGTATGCCAGCACAATGGATGGGACATTATTGTATGACCAAACATAATGTACGAATATTTTCCGACATATTAAGACGTGAATTAATCGGTACCGGTATTAAAGTGATTACAATTGAACCATCATTTTTTCGTACACAAATCGTCAATTTCGATTTGATCGATAAACAAAGAGCAAAAATTTTCAATGAAACACCCGATGATATTCGACAATCATATGGTGGAGAAAAATATCTTAAATGTATGAATGCAAGTAATCAATTAATAATGAATATAACACATGATGGTATTGATCAAGTGATACAAGCAATGATCAATGGTATAATAAGAAAGTATCCAAAAATTTATTACCGTTGTTGTACGAATATGGAACTGTTCACAATATGGGCTGCATCACATTTACCAGAAATTCTATTAGATTCATTCACACATATTTATAATGATCGATTATATAGACAATTTAAAATTGGTAAATATTCCGATTAATTATAATTAACTAATTAACGTTCAGAAGGAGTAAATTAAAAAAAAATAAAAATAAATATTGTCCGTTCATATAAAAGATGATGATATAACAAAAACAGAAATAAATATCAAGTTTTCGAATGAAAAACCATGTTTGTATGTGTATTCTGTAATCAATCATCAATTGATTAATCAATTTTCATGCAAAAAAAAAGAAATCAAATACATTTGGAGACAGAAAAAAAATGATGATGATCATCATGTTATCATTGGTTATTGCCGTTTGGTTATTATCATCATATCGTATAAAATGATTGATTTACTTGGAAAATGACAATCAATAGTCACTGATAAGGCTATCATCATCATTAACTAAAACAGAAATCTAAATGAGTTAATGAGTCTTTGAAACAATGGCTATAATACACACCCTTCAATACTAATTTAGTGAATTTATTTCATGTTGTTGTGTTGATCATCAAAATGATGTCCATGTTACGTAAATTATTTCGTTATTTTATACCATCATTCATTGGTACATATCTATTATGGTACCTATTGAATCCCGTTTGGTTCAATCATTTTTGTATAATATGTTTCTTGTCGATTATATCATGGACAATGGCATATTATTTCTATGAAATGTTAAATCAAGAAACAATTGATCCATCTGGTAAAATTGTATTGGTTACCGGTTGTGATAGTGGTTTTGGTAATCAAATAGCCTATCGTTTGGATCAATTAGGTTTTCATGTTTATGCTGGTGTACTATTCCCCGATGATGATGGTGCTCAACAATTGCGACAAAAATGTTCAAAACGATTGAGAATATTAAAAATGGATGTTACTAAACAAGAAGAAGTTGATAATGTTGTTGAACAAATCAAACAGTCGGGAATGCCATTATGGGCTTTAGTAAACAATGCTGGGGTTGCAATTCTCGTACCATTCGATTGGGGCAATGATATTGATGTTTATCGAAAAGTATTCGATGTCAACATTTTCGGTGTAGTACGTGTAACTAAAAGTTGTATGCCATTATTACGACAATCCAAAGGTCGAATCATAAATGTGGCCAGCGTATGTGGTATGAAAATTATTCACAAAAACAAAACAAAAAAATTCTTTCAAACAATTACATAACTAATTCTGTCAATATTCTTTACAGATCGATTAACTATGACTTGGACTGGACATTATTGTATGACCAAACATTGTGTACGAGTATTTTCCGATGTCATACGACGTGAAACGATCAATTCAGGTGTCAAAGTGATAACATTGGAACCAGCCATGTTTCCCACAAATATGACAAATTTTGAACGATTACGACGATTACGAGAGAAAATATTCGATGAAACACACGAAGAAATACGACGAGTATATGGAAAAAATTATATGCAAAATTTTAACGATATTTATTCAAAGTTAGCATTAATGGAACATAAATCACTCGATCTAGTAATCAATGCAATGATTAATGGTATCGTATTATGTCATCCAAAATTATATTACCGTTGTGGAAATTATAAAGATTTATTAGTGTTCTGGGCAATTTCATATTTGCCCGAAATATTGTTGGATTGCCTTTTCGATAAAGCGTTTACTTATTGTACACAAGGAAAATATAAAAAATGGAATTGAAAATTGTCAATGAAAACAAAACAAAAAAATGTTAAAATTAGTGATTAGTGATAATAAAATGCATTATTATTATTATATACCCAAATTACACGTGTTCTAAGAATTTTTTCTTCTTCTTCATACCAAAATTAAGTCTATTTGGACTCAAACTGCAAAACAAAATGAAATTATCTCGTGTTTTATAAATTTTTGCCGTGTTTCTCCGCAAATATTATCATTATCGCAACATCAGTAGTAATCAATCATCATAATTGTACTTGGAACGTAAAAATCTAAATCTAAACCTAAAATGTTGATTGTTTTGATATTTTTGTATTGGTGGCTCATCATTATGAATGGAGATTGAGATTATCATAGACTATCTATAAAGCCATTTTGATCAGAAAAAACTCATATAAATACTTGATTTAACAAATATTTTAAATGATTAGTAAATTGTTTTCATGTTGTTGTGTTGATCATCAGAATGATGTCCATGTTACGTAAATTATTTCGTTATTTTATACCATCATTCATTGGTACATATCTATTATGGTACCTATTGAATCCCATTTGGTTCAATCAATTTTGTATAATATGTTTCTTATCGATTATATCATGGACAATGGCATATTATTTCTATGAAATGTTAAATCAAGAAACAATCAATCCATCTGGTAAAATTGTATTGGTTACCGGCTGTGATACTGGTTTCGGTAATCAAATAGCCTATCGATTGGATCAATTAGGTTTTCATGTTTATGCCGGTGTTCTATTTCCTGATGGTGATGGTGCTCAACAATTGCGACAAAAATGTTCAAAACGATTGAAAATATTGAAACTGGATGTTACTAAACAAGAAGAAGTTGATAATGTTGTTGAACAAATCAAACAGTCGGGAAAACCATTATGGGCATTGGTCAATAATGCTGGTATTGCAATTTCAGTACCATTCGATTGGGGCAATGATATTGATGTTTATCGAAAAGTATTCGATGTCAATATTTTCGGTGTAGTTCGTGCAACTAAAAGTTGTATGCCATTATTACGACAATCCAAAGGTCGAATCATAAATGTGGCCAGTATATGTGGTATGAAAATTATTCTCAACATTATTTCAAACAATTACATAACTAACATTATTCTTTACAGGTCGATTAACTACAACTTGGACTGGACATTATTGTATGGCCAAACATTGTGTACGTGTATTTTCCGATATCATACGACGTGAAACAATCAATTCAGGTGTCAAAGTGGTAACATTGGAACCAGCATTCTTTGCCACTAATTTGACAAATGTTGAACGATTACAACGATTACGAGAGAAAATATTCGATGAAACACATGAAGAAATACAACGAGTATATGGAAAAAATTATTTAAAATATTTCACCGATACTGATCCAATGATTGCATTAATGTCACATAAATCAATCGATCTAGTAATCGATGCAATGATTAATGGTATCATACTATGTCATCCAAAATTATATTACCGATGTGGAAATTATATAGATTTATTCATGTTCTGGGCAATTTCACATATGCCTGAAATATTGTTGGATTACCTTCTCGATATGGCGGTTTCTTACTATACACAAGGAAAACATAAAAAATGGAATTGAAAATTGTGAACAAAAAAAAAAAAATGTTAAAATTAGTGATTAGTGATAATAAAATGCATTATTATTATTATATACCCAAATTACACGTGTTCTAAGAATTTTTTTTTCTTCTTCATACCCAAATTAAGTCTATTTGGACTCAAACTATCAAAACAAAAATAAAATTATCTCGTGTTCAATGAATTTTTGCCGTGTTTCTCAGCAAATATTATCATTATCGCCACATCAATAGTAATCAATCATCATAATTGTACTTGGAACGTAAAAATCTAAATCTAAACCTAAAATTGAGTGCATTATATGTTGGTGATAAGCGAATCAACCAGAAAAAAATCATATAAATACTTGATTTGGCAAATATTTTAAATGATTAGTAAATTTATTTTTTTTCATGTTGTTGTGTTGATCATCAAAATAATGTCCATGATACGTAAATTATTTCGTTATTTTATACCATCATTCATTGGTACATATCTATTATGGTACCTATTGAATCCCGTTTGGTTCAATCATTTTTGTATCATATGTTTTCTATCGGTTATTGCATGGACAATGGCATATTATTTCTATGAAATGTTAAATCAAGAAACAATCGATCCATCTGGTAAAATTGTATTGGTTACCGGCTGTGATACTGGTTTCGGTAATCGTACCGCTTATCGATTGGATCAATTAGGTTTTCATGTTTATGCCGGTGTTCTATTTCCTGATGGTGATGGTGCTAAACAATTGCAACAAAAATGTTCAAAACGATTGAAAATATTGAAAATGGATGTTACTAAACCAGAAGAAGTGAAAAATGTTGTCGAACAAATTAAACAATCAGGAAAACCATTATGGGCATTGGTCAATAATGCTGGTGTAGGCGTTTCTGTTCCATTCGATTGGGGTAATGATGTTGATATTCATCAAAAAGTATTTGATGTCAATGTATTCGGTTTAATTCGTGTGACTAAATATTGTATGCCATTATTACGACAATCAAATGGTCGAATTGTCAATTTGGCTAGTCTAGCTGGTAAGTTTTTTTTTGACATTTTGAAAATTGAAATTTCATTGATTTAAATTATTAAACAAAAAAAAATCAGGTCGTGTTCGTGTAGGATCTCTATCTAGTTATTGTATGGCAAAACATAGTGTTCGTGTATTATCCGATTGTATCCGCGCAGAATTGATTGGTACCGGTATCAAAGTGGTTACATTGGAACCATCATTTTATAAAACAGAAATCATTAATTTCGATCTAATGGATCAAAAACGACGTAAAATTTATGATGAAACACCTGAAGATATACGTGAATCATATGGTGAAAATTATCTAGAATATTTGAGACAACGTAATTCATTGGTTCAAAGTGTAACGAAAACAAGAATCGATGATGTAGTCGATTCAATCATCGATGGTATTATTCGTGAATATCCAAAACTATATTATCGTTGTTGTTCATATCAAGAATTATTTACAATGTGGGGAACAAGTCATTTACCAGAAATTCTTTTGGATTATGTAATGACTAAAAATGCTGATTCATTATTACGTAAAACTAAAGCTGGTCCATATCATCACAAGTGATATGAATGAATCCAATCAAATCTTGATTTTTTTTTTTTTTTTGGATGTACAACGGATTTATTATGACGATAATCGATTGAAAAAAAACAACAACAAAATTTTTTTTTTCTACAATTTTATTTCCATAAAATCATTTGGGAAAAAAAGAACAAAATTTCCTATATATACAAGGAAAACATGTGCAAGACAATTTTATGTTATGCTTGAATTGTTTTTGATTATCCTCGATCTTTGCATAAAAAAATACATATTTTTTCCCTGTAACATATATATTCGAATGAGTTCATCTTTGTTGACGTAAAGATTCTCTTTCTCTATCTCTGTCTCTTTCGTTGTTTACGTAAATTTAAAGTAGAAATTAAAATTGTCAAATTGAGAAAAATTTTATATCCTGTATTTGTTGATGATTTTTTTTGGTAGTATTATCCACGAAAACGAAATGATACGGTTAGATCATCAAATTTTTTTATATTTTTTTTCAACATTTTCATCATCATATATAATATGGTTTTTATGGAATCCCATTTGGTTCAATCATTTCTGTATTGTATGTGGTCTATCCATAATATCATGGACATTGGCATATTATTTTTTCGAAATATTCAATCAAGAAATGATTGATCCTGTTGGTAAAATTGTATTAATTACCGGTTGTGATAGTGGATTTGGTAATCGATTAGCATGTCGATTAGATCGTATGGGTTTTCATATTTATGCTGGTGTACTATTGCCCGATGGTGATGGTGCTAAACAATTACAGAGGAAATGTTCAAATCGTTTGAAAATAATGCAAATGGATGTAACCAAACCAGAAGAAGTGAACAATGTTGTCGAACAAATCAAACAATCAGGAATGCCATTATGGGCATTGGTCAACAATGCTGGCATTGGTATTTCGGTTCCATTTGATTGGGGCAATGATATTGATGTTTATCGTAAAGTATTCGATGTCAACATTTTCGGTGTAGTACGTGTAACAAAATCTTGTATATCATTATTACGACAATCAAATGGTCGAATCGTTAATGTAGCCAGCTTGGCCGGTATGTCATTCAAACATATTTGTTTTCGTTTTTTAAAATTTTGATTTTTTTTCCACTTCGAAAAGCTCGAATAACATCACCATTATCATCACATTACAGTATGGCTAAACATAGTGTCCGTGTATTTTCCGATGCATTACGTCGTGAAATTGGTTCATCATCAAAAATGAAAATAATCACATTGGAACCATCATTCTATCGAACCGATATTATCAATCATGATTCAATGAATCGTATGAGACGAAAAATTTTCGATGAAACACCTGAAGATATACGAGAAAATTATGGTGAAAAATATTTTCGTATATTCGATAAATCTAATCAAATGACAGAATCAATTATAAAAAATGACTATGAAGCGGTTATCGAAGCAATGATTATGGCCGTTGCAGGTGAAAATCCAAAATTATATTATCGTTGTTGTAATTATTATGAAGTGATTGCATTCTGGGCTTTATCACATATGCCCGAAATAATTGTCGATTATTCAGTAAAATACAGTGGCAAACTGAATAAATTATTATGGATTAAGAATTAAATTCACAGTTTTTTTTTGTTGTCTGAATAATTTGTATCAAAATTAATATAATGGAAAAAAATTCTACTTACCAGTAGAATTGTTGGATTCTTCAAAAAAAAAAAAAAATTCTATTAAACACTCAAACACAAACACAGAACCTAGAAGAGCAGAATACTGCAGCAAACACGTGGTTCGTTCATTGAGAGAGAGAGAAAGATATGCTCTAATTAGAATATATATTTGAATCGAATGAATAAAAGAATAATGAATCCACTAATTTAGACATTGGCCAATGATATACCTGCATGGTATAAATTTATGAAACATAATGTTTTTGTTTTGTTTTGTTTATTTTTTCAATTTTTTTTTCGTTTTTATCAATCATCATCATTCATGTTTATTAAATCCATTACAGGTAAGAATCAATTTATTTTTTTCTAGGGAATTCACTATTTCGGGAATATGAATACGCGGTACAACAAACAAATGGAGAAAAAAAAATCTATCAAGTTTACCGTCACTTTGATTCCCAAAATTAACACATACAACTCTCTTTGATGAGCGAATTCGAGAAAAAAATCACCAATATCATTTCGTACAGATACGGAGAGTACATTTCTATAATGAATGATTAATATATAATTTTAATTCAATTTTAGATGTCATCATTATCATCGAAAAATCAACATTATGTCGGCCGAGCTATTCAGGTTTGTCTCAAACAAAAATTCTACAGTATGGATCATTATGGATCTCAACTTTTCTTTTTTTTGCTTTCAATTTTCAAATAGCTTGAAATAGCCGAATTGGATAATTATTTTGTCAACAATATAGTATTTCATTTGAATTCCATATCTGAAGTAAGTGATACTTTCGAATGTAAAACAATTCTCTTATTTTTATCCATACCATTTTGTAAAAATATAGTCAACATATCGATTTGTTCCAGAATTAAAACTATTAATACAAACCTTATTATGGTATCGAAAATTATATGGCAATGATTCATCCATTGGTCTTGATATTTTTAAATGTCGATACTACTCGAGTACAAATCAATCATCATCCAATGAATTATCATTGATTCAGAAATGTTCATATCTACTTAAATATTCGTTACAATATCTCCAAGACCGATTAGATCAATATCCATCAAATCGACGATGGACACAAATGATTGAAAAATTTCTACTCTATTATCGAACACTGGAAATGTTAAATCTTTATGTTTTCATTTACAATGGTAAATATCGAACAATACATGAACGATTGTTTGGTATTCGAATTGTCAGTCAACGACAACAATCATCAGATTCAATATTTAATCATTCATTTTTAAATCGTGAACTAATGTGGAATGCTATGATCGAAGTATTGACCACATTGATTCCATTCATCACCACTACATCGTTGTATCGTTCCATTATCAAACGAATTTATTATCCAATTCGATTAACAGGTCAACAACAAAATCTACAAGAAAAAGTTCAAACGAAAAGTAACCGGTGTCAAATCTGTGATCTACCAGCAGTGAATGCACAGGCCATTCCGAATTGTCGTCATATTTATTGTTATTTTTGTATCATACACATTCTATTCGAAGATGGTATTGTTAAATGTGATCATTGTCAAGTATCAATTGATTCGGCAGATAAATTATTACGAACATTTCATAATTAAATTCTTGATTTATTCATCGAATTTTTCTGTAAACCAAAAAAAAAAAAACAATATAACTCACATTGAAAAATGAGAAAATTTTCAATAAATGAGATAAAAATTTTTGGAAAAAAAATTAAAAAAAAACCTTGTTGAGGTTTGTCTTGTTGTTGTTTTGTTTGTTTGCATCCCATTCAAAAGTTGCTATATGCATTGTCCATTTAAATTTGTCCAAAAACAAGTTGCCGTTTGAATGTTTAATGCAATTTATGAAAATTGTAATAGACAATTGATGGCAGTGATTCACAAGAAGAATCAACGCTCAAAACGGTTTATTATGATTTGGCAATATTGGTAGCCATACTTGATTGAAGGCAAACGTCTTTTTTTCAATTTTGACAACAAAAATCGATTGCATCGTTATGGATACCACTCAATATATATGCTGATGATGAGGATGTTTATTTGTGAGAATGAAACACCATTGATTTCAACCACACACTGTTAAAACACATCTAAACAACATTCCAATCGTTTGTTTTTCTTGTGGTTGTTGAAATAATTTCCGTTTTTCTCCAATTTTTTTTTTTAATTTGGAATCTATGAATTTGAAATTAAACTGAACAACAACAACAACAAAAATAATGGCTGATCAAAATCAAATTGAAGATGGTGCACGTGGCACACTTGAAACAATCGGAATGACATTGTCAGCAATGCGTAATCTATTGACCATTGTAAATGGTTTGGTTATATTTTTCTCATTATATTTCCTGATTTCGGGTAAAAATCTTGGCTGGGAACCATTACAAATGGCCATATGGATTCGAATCATATTATCATTGATTGTAATCATATTGGCCATTTACGGCATAATGGCTGCTGTTTGGTGGGGTAAAAAATCTAAATTACAACTGAAAATGCTCACTGTATATCTGATCGGTATCATTGTCGTCACTGTTGTTGCCATCATTTTATCAGCCATTTATGTTCGCCATCCTACTAAATGGGACATTATATTCATTGTTTTAGCTTGTTTAGCTACAATCATATTGATTACATCGACATTATCATTTTCATATGGATTGAAAAAAACACGTTTATTACGAAGATTTAATTTGTTTTCATTATAATTTTTTTTTTGTCAGAGTTATTTGTCACCAAAAAAAAGACGATTAATTAATTAAAAAACAATCAATTCAGTTGTGTTCAAAAATTATAAAAATGACATTTAAGCTCGTGTTTTCTTTGGTTTTGGTTTTGTTGAACATTTTTATTTTTTTTCATTTTTTTCTTTTCTTTTCGTTTCGAATCATTGTTGTTGTTGTTGTTGTTGTTGTTATTCGTTGCCATTTTTATCTAAATTTTCAGTTCGTTTACGACGTCGATCTGATTGACATGTGCAGATTTCTCTATGTAAAAATGATTGTATTGCAATCAAAATAGGACGATTTGATTTTAATGCAAAATAATAGAAATTTTCACCATTCGGTATTAATACCAATGAAAAATTCAATAGTTCAGAATATGTTTCTTGGCTATCATCACCATCATCATTTTCAACACCATTGAGAATTTTGTTTTCTTGTTGTTGAAGTTTTTTCTTTCCACCATTTGATTTATCAGTTGTTTTTGGCTGATCATTATCAATTTCCATACTAGTTTTTTTAGCCACAATCGATGACGATATATTACTAGGTCCTGGAATATTTGGATCAAATTTTACGGCCATTCTTTTGGATTGTTGTTGTATTTTTTCTTTTCTTTTTTTCTTTTTCATCTCGAATGTATAATCAATGATAGGAATTATTTTTTTCTGTTTTTTTTCTAAATATTCTTTCAATGTTTTCTTTAATGATTCTGCTGATATATGTTCATTGATTTTGATCAATAGATATCCATCTATTGCTTTTATTGAAAGTTTTTTCTCATATAATTCGTTGAATTTTTTGGTTATAATATCGCCATAATATACCATTAGATTGTAAAGTAGATCTTGATCATTGGATTCGAGTAGCGATCTAATGATGCAAAGACAAGGAATGATTGGCACATACATTCTAAATAAATTAACATTTTTCATAGTCATAAATTTATGGAAATTCTTTCCATTACGGAAAAAATTGTCATCTTTTGTTTTAAATTCTTCACATTGTTGAATAAATTGATTGAGTTTTGTAAAGGAAACATTTTTCGAAATATTTCGTTCCAATTCGAATGGATCTTCCAAACACAATGCATTTGTCATTTTAAAATCATAACGTCCATTAATGATTGTATCGATAAATTCATTCTTTCGTATTGGACAGCCTAATCGTGGACTGATGACAAAATGATAATAATCAAATTGAGAATAAAATGTGAAAAATTTCAGCAACAAATTGAAAATTGAAAGTTCAGTATCATTAACTAATGCTTGACATTTGTCATGAATTAATAGCTTGAATGAATCAGGATCTGTTTCATAGTAATGATCAGCGAAATTTACATCAAGTTGTTCGATTGGCAGGAATATTTTTTCGGATTGAAAAAAGAACAAAACCAACATGGTAAATGTATAGGAATTCATTCCCTCATAACAAATTAGCATGGTATTTTTAGCCCATAAACGTAACAATACGGTGAGCATTTGAAATTTTGGACAGAATTGACAGAGAAAATTTAAAAATATTGAATTATAGATGCCAAATGGATTCGTTACATTTAGATCACAGCTAAATATTTTATGTTTGATTCGATTTCTCGGAAACGAAGTCAATTTAACAATTGGGCATGATGCTTTTATGAAAATGGTATGAAAATAACATCGAAGTTTTTCACGAAAAATTTTTAACATCTCTTTTAAAGGAGCTTCAGCTTCTTTATTATTTAAACGACGAATGCGACCATTCGGAAGGAATAATCGTACATGAAAATCAATATCAGAATCATATGAACTAAGACCACTTGTGGTTGATCCAAAACTATATACTTGACATTCAATTAGATTTTGTCGTAACATTTCTTCAAAAATTCCACGAATAATTTTACGTTTACTCAGATCTTCTTGATTGAACATAATTTTATCCAAACATTCTTTAATATCATTATTTGTAATTTGTTGTTCACTGTCCAATCGTTTCCAAATTTGACTAATCAAGAGAAAAGATTTTTGAACAAATTAATCAAAAAAAAAAATTCCATTCAAAAAACTTACTCAACATTGATATCTCGAATCGAGAATAATTGTTGATAGAATTCACTATCATCCATTTTGTGTTCGAAACGAAAAATCACACAAGTCACACTAACTCCCAATTGGATTTAATGGAAATTTTGTTTTTTATATTACTGGAATGTAAAAAAAAACCAATTCCACCAAATCTTATCGATAATTTATTGAGCAATTTAACAAATAAATAATCTTTAAACAAATTACAATGGACAAAAACCTTAAAATCATTTATTATTGAAATCAAAACCAGCTCGTATCATTTTATCATGAATAACTTACAACGTATAAACTTATCGAGACGTAATAAAATTGCAAAAAATGAATTTTTTTTTTCTTTTGTTTAATGGAAATTTATATATACTCAATTTAAAATTACAATTTTCATTTTCATATATATATGATATGATTATCAAATTCTATCAACAATATAAACAGAGAATCGAAAATTATATTTGGACATATATATAACAATTATTATTATTGTAGACAATTAGAATTGGAAAAAAAACATTTTAACAGAACAAACAATCATCTCTCCTATAGGATTTGATTCAAATGTTGTTAGTTTTATGATAATAAGAATAATGTACAAAATGGAATTATATATGCATGTGTGTGTGTGTGTGTAGATTTTTCATATATAATAGTGATTATTGATCAATTTTTGTAATTTTTTTTTTCAATTATTGTAAACAGGCACTGATACGTTCAATCCAATCGTGTGCAACTTTATCATCGATGGCCATAAAATTATATGTTCGTTTGGTCAATTGTAGCTATTTAATTTGAACAAAAAAAAATGATTATTAAAAACAAAAATAGTCCAAAAAACAAGGTTACCTCAAAAACAAGTGGATCATTGGTAGACATGACTGAGACAACATCACTGAGATCAATATAACCTTTACAGTTCATATCCAATTCGGAATCATAGTATCGTAACTGTATGGAAAAAAAATGAAATATTGGATAAATTAAAATCTATGATGATCGATGAGATTAATTAATGATTGATCATACCTGATGTTGTGTCGTATCCAATACGAACCATCGTTGTTTCCATGCTTTTAATAGGGCACCTTTTTTAAATAGATAACCTTTAAATGTACTATTATCACGATGATGATGATGATGATGATTATGATTTTGACGATTATGTTGTGAACGGCTAGGTAATGTTGACATATCTGAATGACGAAATTCAATAGATGATGGATCAACATCATCACTATCACTATCCGATCGTGTTGTTTCACTGCTAAATTGTTTATTTAATGTATTTGATTGACCAGAATTGTTGACAACAACCGAATTAGCATTGTTATCGTTTCTGTTGTTAGTGGTAGTGGAGTTGGTAGAAGTGATAACTCTATTTGGATTAGAAACTACTGTTTTCGATGAAGAAGCAGCTATCATTTTCGATCGCATACGATTACAAGGATTGGTTAAACCATCACGACAATTTTCATGGCAAACAATATCACATTCTGAACATTTAAATCCATTACGTTTACTGATCAATAGGGCACAATAATCACATTTAGCTATTGGTGCCGAAAATGTTTCAAATATATGATGTGAATGAGATTTCATTTTCAAAAATAAATCTGAATTCATCAATCCAATGGAATATGATGTCATAGCATCCAACGGCAGCTTAGTCGATGGTGATCGTAATTCTTTTAGTCGTTTTTGTTGTGAAATTAATACAGATTCAATATCCGTAGTGATTGGAATTTCAATTTTGTTCCAGATTTTTGACCATTTTTGCGAAGTACAAAGTAACTCTCCTTCAAGTAGCTTTATTTGATCCAATAATTGAATAAAACAATTGGGCAGTACATGATCAACTGAATCATATATGGCATTCACAATTAAACGTCGAGTTCCAGATTTATCATTATCATTATGGATTTCGATATCTTCGGCTCGATGACGTTCCATATTCATCACTTCTAGATCATAGCTTGGACCATGTGCTAATTCTTCACCAACATAATAGTCCCAGATTCGTAAAGATGGCAGATTAAACAATGGCCGCAATACGGCTGCATCAGTGAAACTTTCTTCAATGCTTATGATCGGTACGTAATAGAAATTATAAAAAATTGGTGATTTCACCCAGATTCGTGTACAATAATCCCAGAATGAAGTTCCAGTACAATTGAATGCATTTGATGTTGCATTTTTATTTGGACTTGAATTCGACATTGATGGTGTTGATGTATTATTACCCAGCGATTCTTCTGGTGAATCCTCATTATCATCATCTTCTTCGGTCATCAATTTTTTCAATGTTAAATTCAATTTTATATCATCTTCAATCCAGCCACATTCAGATCGATCTAGTTCACAATCTTGTAGGAATGTACGAAAACGACACGATAGATGATGATAGGCCAAAAATTTGATAAAATATTGATTAAATTCAAATGATAATGGAAATTGGGAATGTATCTGATGGACAATATCAAGAAATTGTAAAAACATTGGAGCGAAACCAGATGATATGGTCGATGCTGTTAGATTTGATCGATGTGTAAAACGATGACCGAATGCAAGCCATTCTTTTTCAATTAATGTACGAAATCCTTCAAATGTACGATAATATGGATCAAGACATAGTTGTGCGATGGAAATGATTTGTGGTACAATATCGGAACCATCTTCCAGACTTAATAGAACCGATGATCGTCGTACATCGACAATTTCAACAATCAATGCAGCAATCTCCATGATTGTTTGTATCTGTTTAAACCAATCGGTTGCATAGAAATCTTTTAAAAACGTACCAGTCATTGGATTTTCAGCCATTTTTACTTCGGATGAGATACAAAGTTTAATCACTTTTTTGAAACTATTTTTCACATGACGAACTTCATGTATTTCAATCGGTAAAAATCATATGAATTATTTTGTTCATTCATTTTGATGAAACGCATATTATTATTCTTTTCACCAATTATGTACAACGGTGAATGATATTGATTCAATGATGTCGTACTAACTGATGATGAATTTGGTGAATTGAATGCTTGAAACAATTCACTCGATTCTGACAATGCTGGCCGTTTTATTGGCTGATTTGAAATTGAATTTATTGAACTTTTTCGTTGATCTGAATTACGGCCCATTGCTTGATTAGACCATTTCTGTAATTGTCGACCCATTGTATGTCCGATAGTGGATTTTCCTCCCGATGTACGGAATGTATTCATTGCTCGATTAAAAGTACTACCAGATGCATTAGATTTTTGTGATATATTGCTACCAGAAATTTGTGATGATGGTGGTTGTGGAAGAAATTTTCTATAAGAATCTGGTGAATTTGAATGAACACTAGAATTATCAATATCGGATATCCTTTGCATATAACTATAACGTGATTGTGATAATGAAAGTTTTGATATTGTTTTAAGAAGATTTTCATGTTCAATATGAATTTCGGAATTGAAATTTGTACCAGAAAAAATTTGTGGTGTTGATGAATTGGCCAGATTGGAATTTCCACCTGGTGTGGTTTTGAACAAACCCATCACACTTTTTATATGCGACGCACCTGATCTTAGAATCAATGCTCTAGTTCGTGGATGTTTCCACACGATGGCCGGAAACCGACCTTGTCGATAGCAACGGGCAATTTTTTTAATCATTTCATCCGTAATACGTGCCGGTACGACAATCATTCCTGGATATGTTCGACAAATTGAATAATGCATATTCCCTGATGAGATTCGAAATTGATCACTACTTGGCTGTCCGGTTGATTGCATTTTAGGCAATTTAGATCCAGTCACTGACATTAGATATAATTGGCTATAATTTCCAAATCCAAGACGTTCATAATCTTTAACATAAAGCATTTCATGAAGTTTATGACAGGATTTATTTTCCGGTGCTTGAAATGTTGATGTTTTGGCCAGATGAACATTGGATAGATTATCAATTGAATTCGATATTGGTTCATCCATACTTTTATCATCGGAAAAATATTTTGATGATTGTTGTACACCACCAGAACCTTGATACATTGTATAATAATTATTTATCATCATTTGTTTATTATTTTTACCAGTCTTGACATTTTTCGTCTTTAAACCAGCTTTCTCTACCGTTCGTAATAAAGTTTTCTTGGCCATTCCATGTATAGTTTTCTTTTCTTTATTTTTTCTTTGAAATAATTGTTTTGTATGTAGAACACCAAGTTGTGATGTAAAAGTGAAATGATGAAATATGGTTGGTGGTGCACGTTCACGATTGAGAATTTTTCGAAAAACTTCAATCTTTTCATTGGATACCTCTTCATCTAAAGCAATTTTTATCAATTGAAATGTATTTGATTTAATTTGAAGACCTTCAGGTAGATATTGATCTAACGATGGTATTGGATTAATATTGATACGTTTTTCTTTGAGTATTGTTGCAATGGGAAAACAACGAACAATAATCGATTCCGATGCAAATGGATCTAATGGACGTCCTTTGAATATGACACGATAATTGGTTAAAAATATGGCACCTTCAGCGGGTAGAAATTGTGTACCAGAAACAAATCCTGTTCGACTTTCATCTTTACCATCAGTGATTAGGTAAGCTCTCAATTCATTAGTTGTAAATTCTTCACCCGGTAATGTATGTGGAAATAGAATTTTAGGTTTAGGTAATGGCGGTAAATGTCGTGATTCACGCCATACAGGTTCAAGACTTTCAATTTGAATTGAAACCAAACTTGATATTAGGCCATGTAATTGTTTGATTGAATCCTCTCCAACAGAAGAATCATTACAAACTTTATCGACAAAACGATAGATGAATTTGATGACATTGTTAGCAATTTCTGAACTTGAATAATTATTTGGTGATGTATTCGAATCTTCTTCAAAACCGGATTCATTATCATTAATAATGGGTTCCTCATATGGATTAGATGGATTAGTATAATTCGATACCGAATTCGTATCAATATCATCATTCGAATGTTTTGAATTATTTAGCTGTGATGAATTTCTATCAGATATATCGAATGGTATTTTGAATGCAACAATTATATTGGCATAATGTACGGCTTGTGCATAGATTGTAGCATTTTCTTGTTGAGAAAAATTTTCAATACGATTCTGATCAAGTTTATCGGCCAAACGCATCTGTTGTGCGGCAATCTCCAGTGCCGAATCTTTTAGAATAAAATCTGAAAATTGTTTCGAAATATCTACATCTAATTTCTCGAAATTTGTTCGGCTATTATTATTATGATAAAGATTTTTGATATCACGTTCAACATCTAGATAAAATGTTTGTTCCCAGAATTGTAGATTGGACCAAATTAAATGATCTTGTATACAGGTATAGGCGAATTGTATGACATTTGTTGATAAACGTCGACAAAATTTCATTGCTAATGGTACTATTTGTGCGGCAATTTCATTGATATCAATTTCACTGTTTTCTTGTAAGGCACAGTTCATTAATCGTACAACCAGATCAAATTGTTCATGTTCCAGAATGGCTTTGTTACCAACAACATGATTGTTTAGCTCTTCACATAATGCTAATCGTGCATGTTTAGTACGTAATGCCAATATGACAGCATTCAATGTTTTTCTTGCATCTAGAATTTTTTTCTCAAATATAGAATTGATACATTTACGCATCACTTCTAATCGACGTGCAGAATTCGAACTCATACTTTGGATACCAATCATTTCGTTGTACAATGGAATGGGTAATCCCATCGGAACAATACGTGGAATTTGTGGATTTTTTATCAATTCTTTACGTGATGGATGAAGTTCTCGTTTGATACGTTCATTTTCCAATAGTTCAGTTATACGTTCAGCATTAAGTAATGGAAAACTAGGTAAATGAATACGAGTGAATGCATTTTCTGTTGGCATCGGTATTTTTGTCACTTGCATTTGGCTATTCGAATTTGTTGGACTTGATGATTGTGGATTTTCATTCAGATAAATCTGTACGGCCAATTCACGAATATGTTTTAAGGTTAGAGTGGGATTTTTAATTTCTTCTTTAATAAAATTATGCAACGATGAATATAACTGAAAAGAGACAGGAAATATGTTTACAAAACTACAACACCACCACTGTATATAGTTTACCTCATCGAATAGATCACAAGGTCTATAGGGTATTCCACGTTCTTGTACGAATGTTAAGAAAAATGTACAATCCAATAAACGTTGAACAAACTCATTATTAATGTAGTTTCGTTGGCTTAAAAATGATGCCTTTTTTATGGGAATAAAATAAAAAATTTTGTTAATTGAAACAGCAAAAAATTTTCACAAAAACTCATACTTTGTTAAATGTAATGATTGGTTTTGGATAGATTCGAAAGACGGTCAAACAAGAACGATATCCTTGTAGTAATTGCGTGAAAACGCGTAAAAATATGGCCCGTATTTCTTTATCAAGAATATGTGGTGGTGATTTTTGTGAATGACTAGTTGAAAATGCATTATCCGCTTGGAATAGATCCGGACTCAATACAAGACACAGTTGATTAGTTAATTGAGCGTAAAGATTTTCATCAAATTTAGTTATGAGTAATCCATCCGGTATTTTTACATAGCCTTCATCAAGATCAACGACGATGACATCGATCTAAATTTATTATTATTCAATTATTTATTAATAATCAAAGTAAAAAGTTTTCAGAAAAAAAACACTTACAGTTTCGACAGCCTGACTTTTTAATGATGAATGTATTCCCATCAAAAATGGTGTTGGTGAAGCAATAAAATCCAATAATGATGATGGTAGAATTGGTATGAATACATGGCTATAAACAAATGGATAAATCAACGAGATGAGTGCATGACAAGCATTATATATTTGAGTATATGAACGTGAAAGGACTATTATTTTATTTTCAGTCATCAATGCAATCACCAGGTTAACGGTTGCATGTATTTTCAATTGATCAAATAGATCAAGAACACAGGTCGAGGTAATTGGTATTGTCGATGATAATGGTGGCTGTAATAGTTGCCTATCCATAGCGCCCAATGAGAATGTTATCGATTTTGATCCAGGTCTTGGTATTTCGATCGATGCCAATAGATTCGTTATCAATAATTCTAATTCAACATCAATATTATCAATGTAAACAGTGTATATGACAGTTAGACAATTCTTCAGTATTTCTGGATAATTGTGTCGAGAAATTAATAATAAACATTTTGGTGCATATGCCATTTGATGGATGGCAATATTTCTAGTGGCTGTTGTTGGATGTCCAATCGGTACATAGCTTCCTTTTATAATTGAATTCGAATGATGATGATAGCTACCACCACCACCACCATTACCACCAAGTAAATGAGTGGCCGAAGTTGGATAGGATAGATCAATCGAACTCAATGATTCATCATCAACATCTTCATCATCATGTTTGATCGGATGTATTGATATTGGTTCATGGAACGTAAAACAGGCACAATAATGTAATACATATAGTTCATCAGTTAGGACGAACATGGAAAATTTTGGCTGCTGTTGTTGTGTGGATAGACGCCATGATTGTGGCTGACAAAACTATGGTTTAAAAAGAATTTTTATTCAATTATCTATAATAAAATAATGACATTTTTTTACCACAGGAATCGAATCAACAAATGGTGATTCATTCCATTGTTTTTCGGGAAAACCTTGGATCACTTTGCCAACGCTACAACCTCCTCCTTTATGGAAAATAAAACAAAAATTAATAAAAACAAACAAACAAAATCGAAATCAAAATGAACATACGTTGTTTTTGATGATCAAAACCAACAACAACAAAATATTCGGCTAATTGATCGGTCATGATGGTCGATGGTAATTTTGATAATTTAATAATTTAGGTATTTGTATCTATAAGTAGGATATAAATATGAATTTTCATTTAATCAATCATTGATAATCAAAAATTAAAAATAAATATTTATTTACCACAAAAAAATTGAATCATAATCTTGGTCGTTGTTCGGATAATTGCATCGTTTCAGAGAAGAGAGAGAGAGAGTGAGAAAAAAATTGTGATAATTTGATATTTTTGGCAACTGAAAAAAATGATGATGATGATGATGAACACCAGAAGATTAAGACACAGTGCAAGGATTCTAATTATTCACATTTTCTTCAAATCGAAAAATGGTGATAATTTTTTTTCAATTGGGCGTTCAACATGTTTATTGGTCGTCGTCGTCGTCGTTTGTTAGAAGGAGAAAAAAATTGAGGTGTGAAGGAAAACCAGAAAATAACAAACAAACAAACAAACAAATTCGAATTTCTTAAATAAAACCATTTAACACGATCAAACAAACAAACAAACAAACGAAAAAAAAGAACAGAAGAAAAGAAAATCGAAATTCAAGGTAGGCGTGTTACGATGATGATGATGATGATTATATGATCATGGTGTGGTGATGAAAATGTCGATTGTTGTTTTGTATAAACAACAACAACAACAACAACAAAAAAGCGTTTTTGGGTGCATGCATATAAGTGTATTATATGCATGTAACAATCAACCAACCAGAAACAATTGACCAACCATCCAAACAAACAAACAAAACAAAAAAACAAGGTTTCTATCATCAAACAATCTATTATATGTCAGGCGATACCAACAGCTTTATACTACTATGATGTTGATGATGATGATGATGACACTAATTATTATTCGTCTATCCAGAAAGACCATCATTTTTTTTTCTTGTTTCATTTATTATACAACAACGATCATCATCATCATCACAGCCGTCAAGTGTAACTATAACAGAAAAAAAAACATTGCGACAATCGAAGAAAAAATCTCAGCACATCAATTATTATTGTAAAAGTAAAAAAAAAAAAAAAAAAAATATTAGAATGCCAGGTTTATACGTTGCAAGTATTCAACAACAACAACAAAAATTTGATTATGATGATGATGATTCATTCGATTGTAATGATTTTCGGACAAAAAAAAAAAAAAAAAAAAAAAAAAAATTTCCGGGCTCATTGTCCTCGAACGCACGAAACACTAATTATTATCATCAGTCATCTCAAGTCGAAAATTCAAACTGAATCTTTTTTATTCTCTGTATTTAAAAAAAAACCTAACCTATTATTCCGTGTTTGTTATAAATGAGAATTGCAAATGTTTTACCGACCGACCGGCTTTTGGACATTCTGTATGGTGGTTTCCTGTTGAATTAATCTGTTTTTTTGTAATAAATTAAAAATTTCTTTAAATTATCCCAATGATTAAAGATTATGATGGTGGTCGTTTTTTTTTGTTTCCAAATTGATCGATTGACGTAATTGAGAAGAATGAATCAGAGATGAATCACCTTGACGATGATGATGATGATGATGATCAGATCAAATAATAAAAGGAAAAAAAAGTGGAGAAAAATTACTTTCAACCGAATGGAAATAACGTGTGTGTGTGTATTATTCGAAATTCGAGCTTAAATCAAGCTTAGCAAAAATTTGTCGAGGCCGTTATTTATCATTTCATTTCTTCAACGATCATCATCATGATTATTTAGTAATACCATTACACGATATATATACAAGGTGATCAACAATTAATCTATAAGCCTTCGGCCCCTACAGATCATTTAAAGATTTTTGTGGATTTTTCTATTTCTCTTTTTCAATAATAATAACTGTATATGTATACAGTTGCTGCTGCTTTTTTGTTGTTGTTGTCGATGATGTTCAACCTTAAACTCAACTAAAGAAGAAAAAAATTGCTATTTCGTCGAGAAGGATAAAATTCAGCTTTTTTTCCCATTTACTACATTGGTTCTTTACTCATGTTTGTTTGTGTTATGTGATTTAATTTGAAAATGAAATTTTTCAAAAGACAGAAAAAAAAACTCGTTTCTGGAGCCTCAACTGTTTTGTTGTTTATTTTGTTGTTTTGAGTCATGATCATTTGGAATGAAAAATATTTTGATTTTGATTTTTTTTTTCGTTCACATTTCAATCCACTAAGTTTGTAAGTTTTTAAATAATTATATAACGTATATCTGTGTTGTATTTTTTTTTTTTAATTTTTGTTCTTTTTTTCCAGAAAATCAAAAATCGATCATCTTGAAATAATATTGAAATTGAAAAATAATCATGTCATTTTTTCGTAATCTATTCGACACATGTATGTCAATATTTTTGAAAACAATACCCGAACAATCATATACAATGGAATTTGATCCAATATCAAGCCGTTATGATGTACGTTTAAAAAATGGTAACGATTATTCCAATTGTCATCGTTATCGGCAACATTGTGATGCGTTTATAGAAAAATCTAATAGTGATAATGATATTGCCTGTCTTATGTTACGGCCAGTACAGCAACCTAAATATACGATATTATTCAATCATGGTGGTACAGTGGATTTGGGAAAAATTTGTAATTTTCTTTACACATTAGCTAAACGTCTTGAATGTAATATATTTGTTTATGATTATTCTGGTTATGGACAAAGTACTGGCCGGCCAACAGAAAAAGTTGTTTATGCTGATGCTGAAACAGTTTGGTCATTATTGTTGAATAAATATCGTTTACAACCACAACAGATTATAATCTATGGCCAAAGTCTTGGTACTGGACCAACATTATATCTTGCTAGTATGCATCGTCAGGTTAAAGGTGTTATACTACATTCACCATTTTTATCCATGGCTAAATTATATATGCCTGGACAATCATCGAAAAAATGTCCAGATTTTGATGTTTTTCGAAAGTAAGTCATTTTTTTTCCTTTTTATAATGAGAAATGTGAATGAAATTATTTTTTTTGTTTCACTTTTCAGTATCGAAATGATCGAACAGGTGGAAGCACCAGTGTTATTCATGCATGGTAGCCGTGATCGTGTTGTACCAATATCACATGCAAAAAAATTATTTGAAAAATGTTCAAATCCTGTAAATCCATTATGGATTGATGGTGGTGGCCATGATGATCTTTTTACATTTGAATCATATGTAACAAGATTGAAACGTTTCATCAATCATGATCTTCATTTATCATCATGAATTTTTGGATGGAATGGAATGGATTTTTTTTTTGTACATAAAGAATTGATATTTTTTTTAAGAAGAAAAAAAATTTTCAAATAAATTAGATGTAATCTAAATTTCATTCCATTTTGAATTTTATGTTTGATGTTTATTGGTTCGATTTTTATCAAAAAGTTATCAAGTAAAAAGTTGAGAAAGTTTTTTTTTTTGTTGTTTATTTTTTTTTTTTTTTTTTTTTATTATTTCAGCACATGTGTGTGTGTGTTGAAGTTAATTTTATTATATCGATGGTTTTAACCAGTAGTTATACCAAGAATTTTCATCTTATCTACCATTCTTATATTTTTGATCGTTATTTAGTGTGATAAAAAGTGGTGAAAGGAATTATTGCGAAAAATGATAATAATTCAGCTTTTTTTTCGCAATATTCAGGTAATTTCATTAGCGGTGTGTGTGTGTGTGTGAGAGAATTATTTTTCCAGTTAAATTTGGATTATATTCGACGAATTTGGTGATACAAAACAACCATGATGAGTATAAAAGCCACGAAAAATTGGTTCGATTTGATCAACAACAAAAAAAAAAAATTTGCGAAAGAAAAATCAACATTTTTTTTTTGTTCTGAAGCATCCATCCAATGTTTTAATTCTGTAAGTTTGTTTGAAATGATTATATGAATGTAATGAATTATTTTTTATTTTTTTTATTTTTTTTTTTTTTTGGTAGAAAAACAAAATTCAACAATAGTGAATACGATTGAAAATGAACTTAACACGGCAACAAATCGACATGTACATGTCGATATTTATGAAAACAATGCCCGAACAATCATATACAATGGAATATGATCCAAAATCAAATCGTTATGAGATCCATTTAAAAGATGGTGATGATTATTCAAATTGTCATCGTTATCGTCAACATTGTGATGCATTTATTGAAAAATCTAATAGTGGTAATAATATTGCCTGTCTTATGTTACGTCCAATGCAACAGCCTAAATATACAATATTATTCAATCATGGTAGTACAGTAGATTTGGGAAAAATTTGTAATTTTCTTTACACATTGGCTAAACGTCTTGATTGTAATATATTTACTTATGATTATTCTGGTTATGGACAAAGTACTGGCCAGCCATCAGAAAAAATGGCATATGCTGATTCGGAAACAGTTTGGTCATTATTATTGAATAAATATCGTTTACAACCACAACAGATTTTAATCTATGGCCAAAGTATTGGTACTGGACCAACATTATATCTGGCTAGTATACATCGTCATGTTAAAGGTGTTATATTGCATTCATCATTTCAATCAATAGCTAAACTATATATTCCTTGGCTAAAAAAATGTCCAGATTATGATGTTTTTCGAAAGTAAGCGTCCGATTTTTTTTTTGTTCGTTTATTATAATTGAAAATTTTTTTTTGTTTGTTTTGTTTTGTTTTGTTTTGTTTAACTTTTCAGTATCGAAATGATTGAAAAGGTAGAATCACCTGTACTATTCTTGCATGGTAGTGATGATCGTAATGTACCATTATCGCATGTTAAAATATTATTTGAAAAATGTCCAAATCCTGTCATTCCATTGTGGATAGAAGGTGGCCATCATGATGATCTTTATACATTTGAATCATATGTAACAAGATTGAAACGTTTTATTGATCAAGATCTTGAATATGAAACATCTGGATTTATATTCTGGTGAAAAGAATTGGATTTTTTTTTTTTGATTTTGGTTCTTCAAATATAAATTAATATGCAGTGGATTGACATTAAAAATCAATAAGAAAAAATGAAATTCCGTTTTCTGTTTTGATTCACACCCACACACACACACACACAGACACACAAAATAATTGTATGCTGTCAATTTGAATGAATGAATAAAATCACGCGAACCTTGATCAATAATAATCGGATATATATAATCAAAAGATTATTGGTTTTGGTTTTAAAATTCTAAATTTCATTGAATTCAATTTAAATTTTTTTTTTGTTTGTTTGAAAAATTAATTGAGAAAGAAATAATTTCACATTGAAAAAAAAATGCGATCCATTGGCCATGAGAAACATGTAAATCATCATCATTTTTTTCATTTTTTTTCATTGTTTTCGCTACAATTACACACACACACACACACACACATTGTCATCCTAACGTCATGTAATGTTGATGATTGAAGAAAAATTGTAAATAATTCAACCACAACATACACTCTAATGAAATGGTGAAAATAGAAATTGGTTCATCGTAAAATGAATGAATGAATGAATGAACAGTAAAAAAAAACAACAACAACAAAAAAAATTGATGGCTATAGATTACCTTGAAAAAAAAAAAAAAAAAAAAATGCTGAAAATTGAAAAATTACAACAACAACAAGAAGAACAAGAAGAAAAATAATTCAACAGCGAAAATGCATTGAAATTATCATATCTCAAACTTTTTGTGTTATGCATCTGTTCTTTTTTTGTGTGTGTGTGTGTGTGTTGGAAAGAAATCATTGGATTATGTTTCATTCGTTCCATCTTTGTTCATCATCATCATCATCATCATCATTATAATTGGTTTACATTTTTTGATCACATTGGATCAAAACTGAAATAATGATGATTAGAAAAAAAAACAGGAAACGCCTCTTCATGTAGACACAAACAATTCCAAATGTAATGAACGATTATTCGATGTATCGATAAATGCCAAAAAAACAGAACAACAAGCCATTGAGCCATTTATTATTATAATAAAACCACCACTATACATACAATGAAACAAGCTTCATTGATTCATTGATTCATTCATTCATTCGTCGTCGTCGTCGTCGTTAACGTCTTTATTCATTCATCGTTTTTCATTGCCATTCCATGACGATAATGTTATATATATAGTATGGCTATTTAAAAAAATTCATATTACCATTGTCGTATGTGTTTGTCATTGTAATATATCATCATCATCATCATCATCAAGTTTAATAACCGAAAAAGGATGACCATTATACATTGATGAACTGAGGGGAATGGAGGGGGATCTCATTAAAACAACCTGTTTTGATTTATGTTCATGTAGCTGAAATCCAAAAATCAATAAATGCCACTTCTATACTCTTTCCGTTAAAATATTTGAACAATAAAACTAAAAACAAAAAAATAACAACGCTATATATAATAATAATATGAGATTTACCTTTTCCATTCCATTTAAACTAATCAATGACAATTGAAATGAAAGAGAGAGAGAGAGAGAGAAAAAAGAGTGAATTAAAATGATGATGAATTCAACAACTCAATCCAAAAAAACAAAAAACAAAAACAGATTCATGGACAAAACATCATCATCATCATTATTATTATTATTATTATTATCCAAAAATGATAATAATGAGATGACATTCACAAGTACTTTTTCTCGACAATGGCAAACACGATCAAAATAACAAAAAAAATTATTTGTTGTTGTTGTTGTTGTTGTTGTTGTTATTGTTGTTCTGTTGTTGTTGTTGTTGTGGTTGGAAAGAAACAAACAAAAATCTGAAAAAAAATCTCCATGAATAACTTCGAATCGATAACGAAAAAAAAAAAAACAATGATGATGATGATGATGATGATGAAGTTAATTTATGTTAAATGATGTGACATATATTAAAAAAAAAAATTTGTTTACAATCATCATCAATTTTGTTTTTGTTTTTTTTCTATTACAACAAGAACAAACAAGATTTGATATTTGTAAAAGAAATACTGCAAATGTAGCCATTTTCAGTATCAGAGTGTTAAGAAAAAAAAAATTCGAACGTTTTTATTACGTTATATCTGAACAATCATTGTTATATCATAATCATCATCATCATCAATCTATCTACTATACTATTATCGAATATAAGATAATGAAAATAGCTTAGACATTTAGATAAATCTTTTGCTGTTGTTGTTGTTTTTAATGATGACAATGATTGACGATTATTTATTGATTATTTGGCAATCATATCATATCATCAATACTATATCATAGATTGATTGATCGATAAATATTTTTGATAAAACATTCGGGATCAAGATGATAATGATGATGATGGTGATGATTACTTTGCCACCCTTGTTGTTGTTGTTGTTGTTGTCCTTCAATGTCTTTGATGTCATGGTCATCATCATCATCATCATCATGAATATGAATGCGTGTAGTGAACAAACGAAATTGAAATCACGTGTAAAAACTAGAATGAAAATGAGATATATATATATAAACAACAAACAAAAAAAAAAAACAATCAACAACACAAAACCTTCAATCATCGTGAATGTCTCATTTCATAATATTTAACTAATTCAATTATCATCATCATCATCATCATCATCATCATCAAGATTAAGATGACAATTTATCTTCTACATTTACATTTAATGATTGATTTAGTGAAAAGAACAAACAAAAAACAAAATTGTTTCAATAGTACGTGTGTGTTGTTATAGTGGCAGTAGCCAATCGATTATCCATTACAAATAACAAAAAAAAAAAAAAGCATAAAAACGCGGTTATTATGGTTGTTTTAAAAGGCGGGAATTATTTTACATCGATTATGATCGAGAGCAATGTGTAACTTCCGCCTATTTCATTTATGTTTAATAATAACACACACATACACACACACACATTATCATATTATTATTAGTACATTATCGTTGATGTAAAAATAAAACAATCAATCAATCAATCAATCAATGAGAATACACGAGAGATTAAGGAAAAATAAAAAAAAAAAAACAAAATTGATAATGACAAACAACAACAACAACCTGAAAACAGATTATCGCCAAAAAAAAAAAAGAAACGATTAACAAAATCACATTTATAAATAAATAAATTGTGGATGAAGGAGAAAACAAAAAAAAAAAAATTGATCCATTACCGATTACCGATGGAGAGAAAACACTTGTTGTTTTTCAATGTATATAATATCCGGTCATGTATGTATGTCATGATTATATATATCGTCTAATGTCTATATGTATGTCTGTTTGTTAATTCATATATAATCAATCAATGAAAGTAGTAGCAGGTCGTTTATTATTATTTTTTTTCCTTCTCCAATGTTTGTCTGGATGTTCGCGTGTGTGTGTGTGTGTGTGTGTAAGTGTTGGATTACTTCCTGTGTTCCGAGATAAATTTTTCGATTTTCATCTTCTTTTTTTTTTTTGTTGCGTACACAATTTTCCTACGTGAAAACGTGAAAAAAAACCGAGATAATTATTATTTTTTTTTAAATTAATTTAGAAGAAAAAAAAATCAAATCAAAACACCATCATCATCGGTATCCAGTTTGACCGGATTTTTTTTTTGTACGGAACACTTTTAAATTACCGTGTGTATATACACAATGATATATACGGATTATTTATGAAATCATCATCATCCACAACAACAAAAAAAAATGGATATCGATAACCAATCAATCAATTTTAATGTTCTGATACTAATGTTTATTATCTGAAATTTTGTCTTGAAATAATCTACATAATTGATATATATATGTACAAATGAAAAAAAAAAAAAAAGTTTTTCTTTCCTCTTTCAATACACCTGATATTACACCCTTTATCCAATCAATGAGTCAAATGGCAAAAAAAAACAAACAATTTTTTCTACTAATTTGTTTTGTAATGATAATCGATTTCGGTAATTTTCATTGTTTTGATTATTTCAATCTTTCAATCATTATCATCAAAGGCGACAAAAGTCTTATTTTTTAAAAAAAATGTTGCAAAATTTTTCTTTTTTTATAAAACAAAATTGTCGATTGATGATACAATGATGATGATGATGATGATGATGTCTCATTCAAAGACAATGATATAACATATATGTAAATGAGAAAAATCTAGCGGTCCAAATCTTCAAATGCTGCTGCCGCTGCTGCTGCTGCTGCTGTTGGATCCATTCACCTGTGTTATTCTCTCTTTTTGATTTTTTTTTAGTTATGTTTTTTTTCTCATTTAGAAAACAAAAATTCATTAAACATAAAAAAAAACATTCATCCACTCTCTCAATCAACTGCTTTTTGACAATTTTTTTTTGTTTTCATTTTAAAATTTTAAAAAGTTAAACAAACGACTCCTACCTGTTATTTGGTGCTACTGTTTTTGTTTTGTTTTTTTGGATTGAAATTTTTTTTTCTCTTATTATTATTGTTTTTAATCGTTTTAAACTAATAATTATTATTATTATTATTGCTACTACTTAACCAAGTAAGTTATTAACCGTTTCATCATCATCATCATCATCATCGTCATCGTTTTTGGGGCCTTCGACATCTCTTCTTTCTCTTTTTTTCTCTTTCTTTGTCTTTATGTGTTGAATTTAAAAATATGAAACAAGTATCTTGGAACAACAGCAGCGGCATTGGAAACAATAACCAAGAAAAAAAAAACACTAAACGTTCGAATACTTTGCTTTTAGCTAATGATAACTTACTTTTTTTGTGTGTTGTGTGTGTGTATTTGGTGATGATGAATTTGTTTTAATTTTTTTTCACTGTTTTTTTTCTTATTTTGATTGATTGAGAAATCGATAATCAATGTTCAGCATACACAAACACACACACACACACACAAATATTGCTCCTATCTATCCATCTATCTATCTATCTCAAATATATTATATGGTCATACTCACGTATCAATCGAATGAATAAATCGTGAGAAAAAGAGAAAATTTTTCATGAAAGAAATGTTTTCATGAATTATTATGATGATTACAAACATAAAAAGTTTTAAGAAGTTTGATGATATACCACATAACAAAAACAACAACATCAACAACAACAACAACAACAACAACAAAAACAG